CAATTGTCTTGCCCCACTGTAAGTGGGAGGTCTGAATGTGCAATATCTCTGTTGAGAGGGCCCTGGGAAGGTGACCATTGGGCCCAGTCACTGAGGTACTGCTCACTCTAGGTGTGTGGCTGGGGCGTTGTACCACTAGATGTCTTTGCATATCCACACCACTGGTCAACCATGCAACAGTAGCAATAACAAGCAAAACACTATACATTGCCCATTAGGACCAGGAAGAAAAGACCCTTCTTCCAGCAGTATCTTTCCATTGCCTTCTCCTTGAAAAGCTTAATATTGTGATCACTGAAAAAGAAAATGCTTGAGTCCATCCGGTTCTCATAGAGCATGTACGAAGTGGATTTGGAGTGGAGAGGCAATTAATGGATAACTGGCACATAATTTGACTGCTAAAACTCAGAGCCTTTCACCTATGTCTGACTTATAATTGAAAAATAAATAAATAAAATCAGACCCTGATGTCTTGGAACTGGTCTGGCTCTCACAGATAGGCCTCACTGTTATTACAAACTGATGTGATATGCACAACTAAGCAATGTTGTTCTCCTGCAGGGAATAAGCAGTCTCACAAGAATAGCAAGCAAGACCACTGTGTACCCTACAAAATACCAGACCTCTTCCTCATTAAATTAGTATGCTACTTGCTCACCAATTTGTGTGTGTGTGTGTGTGTGTGTGTGTGTGTGTGTGTGTGTGTGTGTTTTGCATATTAAACCCAGGGCCTCATGCTAGGCAAGCACTCTACCATTGAGTTTCATCTCCAACCCAAGTTATAGCTTTATACTCACTTTAGTCTTTGCTCCTTATCAGATTTATTGAGATACCTAGTCATAGAATTGCCTTGATTTCTGGCAGCTCCCAATCCAAAGCAAATCTGTTTCCTTAGATGCTCCCCAAAATTATCCAGCTAAATCTCAAATGCTCCCAAAAATTATCCAGCTAAATCCCAAATTTTATATTAGACTTTTTTCCTTTATTAAGATATTCCACAGTTTCTCAAGTTTGCATTCTCCCTCTCTGCAGTGAGCAAGAAACCCAAACAGTTTGTTCAGGTACAGGTGTGTTCCTGGGTTTTTTGTTTTTGTTTTTTGTTTTCACTGAAGGGCATTGATAGAAGAAATGAGAAGTATTTTTTCTTCTGCATTTTTGTTATTGTTTTCTTTTGGTGGTACTAGGGATTGAACCCAGAGCCTTATTCATGCTAGGCAAGTACTCCACCACTGAGCTACATCCCCAGCTTTTTTTATTTTTTATTTTGATACAGGGTCTCAATAAGTTGCCCAAGCTGACCTCAAACTTGTGATCATCCTGCCTCAAACACTTAAGTAGCTGGAATTACAAGTGTGTGCCACCTTGCCCAGTTTATGTCTATGTATGTGTTTGGAGAAGCTAGTTGCATTACCAACATTGACTTTTTTCCTTAAGGAAGTGACTCTCTTAGAAATTTAACAGTATTAAAAAAAACAACTCTGATAATAGTTTATTTTTTAAAACTATTTTTGCAGAAATAAAACTCCATAAAACCCACAGTTAAACTGTTAGCAGTTTTTAATACTTAGCAAATATAGACAAAACATTTTTTTATGATAGCTTTCCTACAGAAGACATAGCATATATTTTGAATATGGTCAAGACATAAGCAATTTTAATGAAATGAATATGAAGTCGTTTTCTTATTTTGAGAGATTCTGTTCTCTGCATACTTAAGGAGTGACATGTAGAATAAACCTTCCGGATGGGGGTGACACTGAGCTTCTTTTTTTTTTTTTTTTTTTTTAATATTTATTTTTTAGTTCTCGGCGAACACAACATCTTTGTTTGTATGTGGTGCTGAGGATCGAACCCGGGCCGCACGCATGCCAGGCGAGCACGCTACCGCTTGAGCCACATCCCCAGCCCGACACTGAGCTTCTTAATTCACTACTTACTTCCAGAAAGCTGAGGAAGCTTTCAAGAGTCCTTTCCCCACTCTGAAAGGCTTTAACAAGCCTGCATTAATATATCATTGCTAAAATATTTACATTTTTAATATAGTAGAGGTAAATGTTAAAATGTGATTTTTGTTTTTAAACAGAACTCTGATTCCTGTAAGGTCTACTTATGTATAGTTAGAATGAGTCMCTTGGTTCTCTGCATAATAAACAACCACTATGGCTTAGTAAATGGATATGTTTTCTTATAATGTGCCTGGGCATACCTGTAATTAACTGAATGTTAATGTGAATGTTCCAAGAAATGTGATTGTTTTAGTGAATATTTTGTTGTCTGAGGAGTTACCATTTTCTCTCCCTAAAAAATTAGTAATTCTTTAATCTTGTGGGCAAAAATCTAAGCAAGTCTACATAAGTTATGGATACTAACAAAATTATATATTCTTATCCTTTTATTTCATTGATTAAACTTTTTAAACTTCTACTATAGGCAACATTATGTTGTACTAAGTACTGAAGTTATAAAAATAAGAAAGCCCCCAATCCTTGGTTGAAATGGATGGCCACAGAATAGATCCTAAGTTTCTCTGGATTTGATTGTCTTATGGTTAATTACTTGCCCATCTTCCTGCTTCTCATTTTTTGGTTTTGTTTTTAGGACTCTGTTGGGCATAAAGAGAAGAAGAGTACAACATTTAGTAGCATCAGTAAATTTGGACAATAAATTTAGTTAGCACTGGCTAAGTGCTTTGTGGGCAAGATATGAGATAAGACAAATACTGCTCTTCTCAGAGGGAACCCACAGTAAAGAGATGGTACATGGGTCAAGTGGCCATAGAATCCTGTGATAGAGCACAAGTAGAGTTAGTTCTTCCTAGAGTATAATTTCTAAACCTGAGGGCTATCAAGCAGACTTCATGGATTTCAAATCAGCTTTCCATCCACTCCCCCACTCATCTAATAAAAGACCCTTGTCACTACACTTCAAACATCTACCCAGTTAAGTAGAGTAGTAAGTGACTGATGTCCTTTGACTACCATTCGCCTTACCTCCACAGAGTACCAGCTATCCAAGCCTGGCTTTTTTTATGGGCATCAAATGATGGTGTGTGTCTGTCTTTCCAAGCCACATAATTAAGTCAGCCTTTTGTGCTCATATGACTGACCCAAACCCTTCAGGTCACCTGGTGTTTCTTTTAGAAGTATTTATATAAAGAAGGTTTCATCTAGAATGTTAGTTTTTATAATGAATCAAATAAGGATTATGGACTGCTAATGGTTTACTACCAAAATTCCATTGTAGACTATTAAAGGTAGTCATTTGAAATTTATAAAATAACACAAGAAAAATTCTGTATATGCTTGTTAAATGTTTGACAAGATAATGTGAACAAGTAGCATCTGATCATTTTCCTTAACCTTTTAAAATTAAGACTTCCAAAAAAAAAAAAAAAAAAAGGGACTTCCCTGAAGTCTTCCTCCCTAGGGCTTTACTGTATTTTTGCAGCATAAATTCGTGAGGTATTTATTACAAGTCCACGGTCCTTTATCTTTAATTCTCAAATCCAAAAAATTTTGAAAACCAAATGTTCTTTGTGTAAGTTACTTAACAGAAAATCCAAACCTGAACTGAAATAGCCCTATTTATATATGATTTTTTCTTTTTGCCCTATTGTAGAATATTTGTTGGTTCACTGCAAAAATATGAATGTATTTCGTTCTAGGGTACTGCCCTCAGTAATTCATACATATGATCTACACACTGTGTTACCTTTCTAAATTTAAGAAAACAAAAATCTGGATTCTAAAACATGTCTGCTCCAGTCAGGCACAGTGGCACACATCTGAAATATCACCAACTAGAAGCTGATGATTGCAAGTTTAAGGCCAACCTGAGCAACTTGGCCAAACCCTGTCTCAGAATAAAAAGGGATGGAAGTGTAGCTCAGTGGTAAAGTGCCCCTGGGTTCAAACCTCAGGACCAAAAAACAAAACAGGTGTGGTAGCACACGCCTGTAATCCCAGCAGCTCAGGAGGCTGAGACAAGAAGATCATGAGTTCAGAGCCAGCTAAGCAACTCAGTGAGACCCTGTGTCTAAATAAAATACAAAATAGGACTGGGGATGTGGCTCAGTGGATGAGTGCTCCTGAGTTCAATCCCTAGTACAAAAAAAAAAAAAGTCTACCTCTAAGGGTTTAAATAGGGATTGTGGGCATATGTAAATATAAATTATCTATGGCAGAGTGGTTTAAGAGGGCACTTTAGTATTGTGGATAGTTTTTAATTTTGATAAGCTAATTCATGTAAACAAAGCACAGTTACAACAACAGAACACCTTTAATTATCTTGTAACTCGCTTTATGCCTACATATATTGGTTCTGTAGTTATAGGTTTAAATATAGGAAATGTGACTATGATTGTATATCTGTTTCATTTTATGTGCCCACAAATGAGGGCTAACATAATAATAATCAGCTTACCAAAGGCTATCACCATGATCATATATGTATAAGAAAAAAATGAGCTTCTGATTGCGGATTATATGAGTATGCATATAATCAAAAGTGTTCCATGGTAATATAATTTGTACATTTTCAGTGGAATAAGTACCACTGAATATAATAAAGAGCAATTATATTAGTTCTTGATTTTTCCACATTTTAAGGGAATGTAGAGTCACATACCAGTGAAGCAAGGAGTGTTCCAGGAACAGTACCATATACCTGTAATCCTAGCACCTTGAGAGGCTCAGGCAGAAAGATCCCAAGTTTGATGCCAGCCTCAGCAACTTAACAAGACCCTGTCTCAAAAAAAAAAAAATAGAAAGGACTGGGGATATAGCTCAGTGGTAAAGCTCCCCTGGGTTCAATGCCCAGTACCAAAAAAAGAAGGAGTGTTTTCCACCTGCCCACACCCACTTTGGAGGAATAAAACTGACCTATTTTCTGTATAATCATAAATTTTAACAGATTTTTTTCTGATATTTTCAAGCTTAATAAGGCAATTGTATTTTTACTTGGATTTTTCTTTCCTTCTATTTTTTCCTTCTTCTGTGCAGATTATCAACGCCTGATGACTGTGGCAGAAGGCATCACCACACTTTTGTTCCCATTTCAGTGGCAGCATGTTTATGTGCCCATCCTTCCTGCTTCTCTGCTTCATTTTCTTGATGCTCCTGTACCTTATCTGATGGGTCTTCAGTCAAAAGAAGGAACTGACCGTTCTAAACTAGAACTTCCTCAAGAGGTAAAACTTTTTTGATGAATGATGAAATTTGCTGTTTGTTGATTTAGGTCAAGGCTATTTTTGTTAAATAGCATTTTTGTCATCCGATTTTATCTCTCTGGCTCTCCTTAATCTCCCAAGTATGGCTAAGATAGAACCTGAGCCACAGAATGCAGACCATGATCTGATGATTACTACACGATAGCCATTAATTAAACATAGTTCAAAACAGAACACTGGCGTATTTTTATATCTATAAATGTTTGAGAATGGAGCAATAGTAGTCATAATCATCATTGATTTATTCTAATAACATTCATTTCTTTTCCATACTTGTTACAAATTTTATTTTTAAATGACACATCCCAGATCTGGCATCCTTTAAAATTGTATTAACTGAGGTGAATTTGACTTTTTACCGCCCATCAAATGAAAAATAACATCTTTCAGCAAACTGGAAAATGGAAACATAAAATGCTTTATTCTCTGTTTGCAGTCATAAGGCTAATTATCAACTTGTTCTAAATATTAACTTTGTCAGCTAAACTAAAATTTTAAGCCCTAGCTTTTTGCCACCTTAATATTACTATCTTTCCAATGTGCTTTGTTTTGAAATGTTGTTTGAGAGGAAAAATAAGCAAAAATTCTTGAAAGCATTTTGAATCTAATTTTTGGCTGTTGTTAATGGTACTTAGAATTGTACTGTAAAGCTTTTGAAATGAAATATTGATGAGAGTGCCATGGCCTATTAAAAAACACAAAATGGTTAATTACATTATATTATTAGCTATTTAATTAGCACCTTTCTTAATACAGTCTCTCATTCTGAGTTTCACTTTTATTTGTTCTTATTTCCTGTAGAGATTCTCATTTTAATAAGTGAGTTTAAAATAACACACTAAGCCATAGCCATTATACCTAGTAATGATTCCCATAATCATCCACTGCTGACTTTTATTCTAAGGAATGTTTCCTTACCAAAATAAACATTTTTGTTCAAGAGAAAATAACTTCAGGTCATATAAAATATATGGGCAAGTTTTCTTGTTCTTCTGGGACTTGCTCATGTTCTCCTCTTTCTGCTTCTTATTTTACATCTTTATTCCCTTAATTTTCTTTTTTTCTCTTTCATGGAATTAATCTAGAATATCATTGTTTGAAGAAGTAAATCCCCTAAATTTTCAAGAAAAAATGTGTTTTTATTTTAAAGACTTAAAAAGAGGGCTGGGGTTGTAGCTCAGTGGTTGAGTGCTTGCCTCGCATTGCATGAGGCACTGGGTTCGATCCTCAGCACCACATAAAAATGAATAAATAAAAACAAAAATATTGTGTCCATCTACAATTAAAAAACATTAAAAAAAAAAAAACATCTGGGCGTGGTAGCACATGCACTTTATTCCAGCTCTCAGGAGGCTGAGGCAGGAGTATTACAAGTCTGAGGCCAGCCTGGGCAATTTGGCAAGACCTTGTCTCAAAATAAAAAGTTATTTTTTTCCTGAGCACAGTGGTGCACACCTGTATTTTAGTGGCTCCAGTGGCAGAGATGGGGAGGATCAAGAGTTCAGATCCAGCCTCAGCAGTGTCGTGGTGCTAAGCAACTCAGTGAGACCCATCTCTAAATAAAATACAATAGAGCTGGGGATGTTAAGCACCCCTAGGTTCAACCCCCAGTACCAAAATAATAAAATAATAAATATATATATATATATTGGTACCAGAGATTGAACTCAGGGGCGCTCAACCACTGAGCCACATCCCCAGCCATTTTTTATATTTTATTTTGAGACAGGGTCTCACCAAGTTGCTTGGGGCCTCACTAAATTGCTCCTGCTTCAACCTCGTAAGCTACTGGGATTGCATGTGTGCACTACCACACCCGGCTCAWAATAAAATTTTTAAAAASKAGCTTGTATTGTAGCTCACAGGCAGAAGTCTTCTCTGTTCAATGCCTAGAACCAACACCCAAAAATAGACTTAGGGTTGCGGTGTAGCTTATATGCAAGTCCCTAGCTTTGATCCTTAGTACTGGGGTTGGGGGGGGCGAGGATTTAACAAGACATTTTGTTTCTTGTTGAATATCTGATCTATTTTGTACATTAAACAAATTAAATTTTTTTTTGTGTGTGTACCAAGGATTGAGCCACATCCCCAGCCCTATTTTGTATTATTTATTTAAAGACATGTTGCTGAGTTGCTTAGTGCCTCTCTTCTTGCTGAGGCTGGCTTTGAACTCACTTTCCTCCTGTTTTAGCCTCCCAAGCCACTGAGATTACAGGCGTGTGCCACCGCACCTGGCTGGCAAATTATATTCTTAAGGCAGTTTATTTAGTATGTAAAAGTTGTCTTTCAATTTTACATAAGTAATTATTGACAAATTTTTAAATGCCACCTTGGTATATATGTAATTGGGAAATTTTTCTATGTCTACATGTATCCTCTGACTAAAGATAAGTTAAAAATTGCAAAAGCCTTCATAATGATCACTGGGATTTTCTAATTTTTCACTCACAAGTTGAATTCTACTTTTATTTTTAGTTTTTTTTAGATTTTAGGGTCAGTTTCTTTGATTGAGTGGTTGGTTTGCAGTGTTGGGAATTAAAACCAGGCCCTCTTATAAATGCTAAGCAAGTGCTTTACCATTGGGTCATATCCTTAGCCCTCAACACTATTTAATAAATACATACACCCATCTATTAATAGAATAGTATGAAATTACCTGAATTAGCTGTTAAAAAAAAGTAACGGTGTTTCTATATAGAAACTATAAATTAGGGCTGGGAATGTGGCTCAGGCRGTAGCGCGCTCGTCTGGCATGCTTGTGGCCCAGGTTCGATCCTCAGCACCACATACCAACAAAGATGTTGTGTCCGCTGAGAACTAAAAAATAATAAGTATTTAAAAAAAAAAAAGAAAGAAACTATAAATTAGATGCACCATTGTTCTGGAAGAAAAGGCTAACAGTGTATTACTTCATTCTGGTATCATTTTACAATGAGATGAATATCTGCCTCACATAATTTGGGGGAGAGGAAGTAGTATAAAAATAGCCATTTTAGGGGCCGGGTTGTGGCTCAGTGGTAGAGCACTTGCCTAGCATGCGTGAGGCACTGGGTTTGATCCCCAGCACCACATAAAAATAAAATAAAATAAAGGTATTGTGTCCATCTACAACTTTAAAAAAATAGCCATTTTTAAAAACGACTTAAAGGGACTGGGGATATATCTCAATTGGTAGACTGCCTGCCTCACATGCACAAGGCCTTGGGTTCAATCCCCAGCACCACCAAAAAAAAAAAAAAAAAAGATGACTTAAGTGCACTCACTATTCATACTTCTCGCCCTCTTCCCCAAAAAACTGTATAAATAAAATAATGGCTAAAAATAGTGATAAAGCTTCCAAAAATAGTTACAAAAATGCTAAGTGTACAAAAATGAGTTTTTCAAGAAGGTATGATTTTAGTTGTTAGGTAACTAATGTAACTACATAGACTTATAATTAACTACCCACTCCTTTTCCCCATGACTCCAAAATGATAGGCACAAGTAGCCATTTGTTATATAATTTTTTAGGGAGCCGGGTGGGAAAGTGAGTGTGCAAGAATGTAACTCTGAAAATTAACTGCATAGAATGTTACCTCACTTTTAACTGTTTTTGCTCATCTTTAAAGTGATAGACAAAAATAAAAACTGAGAACAGAATTGCTTTTGCCACCTTGTTTTTGTTGTACCTTGCCTTGAGATTCTGAGGGAATATTTTATTTATTTATTTATTCTTATTTTCTTATTTGTGGTGCTAGGGATCAAACCCAGGGCCTCATTCATGTTAGGCAGGCTCTCTTCCATTGAGCTATATTCTCAGGGGAGAAAATTTTAAATGATCTCCTCTGGCTTATCCTCATGACATCTTAATTTCAGACACTCAGAACCTAGATCACTTATAAATAAACCTGAGGAAAGCTTCTCCCAGCTCACATTCCTAAGTATTTACTGCTCCTGCTTATGTGTGTGTGTATGTGTGTGTGTGGTGCTGAGGATCAAACCCAGGGCTTTGTGCATGTGAGGTAAGCACTCTACCAACTGAGCTATGTCCCCAGCCCCCATGCCTACCTCTTTGGTGTTCCCTCAAGTGACCATCACCTGAGGATTTCAACAGACACTACTTGTGTAGAATTGTAGGGGGCTTCAAGATATTTGAGGTGATTTCAGCTTTCCAAAACAACAACAAAAAAATTTAAGTATCAATAACACAGGTTAGTCAATTTCTTCTCCAAGATATCTGCTTCTTCCCTTGAGACCATCTTTCCCCACCCTTCTAATAAACTTTGCTATACTTTTACTTAAGATAAAACAACAACAACAAAAACACACAGGCAGGTTAAATAAATACTCAGGAATAAATGAACTAAGAATATATAGAGGAGATCAGGATGCTTCTACTTACAGAAGAAATAATTAAGCTTCAATTATTTGACCTCTTACTTTTTTTTATTTATTTTTTAGTTGTAGTCGGACACAATACCTTTATTTTATTTATTTATTTTTATGTGGTGCTGAGGATCGAACCCAGGGCCTCACATGTGCTAGGCGAGTGTTCTACCGCTGAGCCACAACCCCAGCCCTGACCTTTTACTTTTGAGGGAACTTTTTTTACTTTTAATTTGAGTTAATTACATATCATGAAGATTTATGGGTTATGTTGATCAGTAGATATATAAAGTACTTAGTCCCCAAACAGTGTCAAATTGAGATTTGGGTCTGTTTTTTATCATGTATGTAATACTTCTTGAGCTTTTCTAATAGAATTTTTAAAAATTTAATGGTATTAAGTGAGAAGAAACAACTTGTCAAATTATTTAGTGGGAATCATATTTGTTTTAGAAAAAAACCTGTTTTCTTCAATAATTTTTAATAACACAAATTTGTATTTCCTATTTTTACTTTGTGATAATAATCAGAGCCCTTTTGGGTCCTTCCAAGCAGGTGTAGGGGAGGGCATGGGAGACTTCTGTGGGAGCATGAAGACTGGCTAGTCTCTGTTGCCGGAACTCCCACTGGCACAACACACTCAGTTCAGCACTGATACCGTGAGCATAATAAGCTTTAAATTTTATGTCAGAAAATGTTTTATTCTCTCTCTTTATAGGAGGAGGAGAGGAATGGAAAAGGATAGTTAGAGGGCATTAATGAAGAAGATAGTATAAAATAAAAATGAAAGGTTACTGGTTAATACTTAGCAAGTTATTGAATTTTTTCCTTCCATTTTTAAAGATATTGAATCATCTGTTTGAATTATGGTGACCTACTTTCTGCCTCTAAGTCTTTCAGTGTATCCTACTTTCAAGAAATGGAAGACACACACATAAAGATGTGGATTTAAAGAAAGTTGTAGGAAGCACTACTGTCTTCAGCAAGATCTGACATTTCAGCTCTTTATTTAGAGAAATCTACTGACATTGGAGATGAGGAAAAAATAATAATCACAAGGAAACCCCAGGCTGTCTGAGGATGCATATTTGGAGCAGGTGCCAGGAAGTTACCCAAGTTCTTGGGCCTCAATTTTTTCATCTGCAAAATTGAAGGCAGCAGGAAGGGAGAGGGGCCCGGGGCACAAGAAGAGTCCTTGGGTCTGGGTGGACCACTGGGATTTTCTACTCCAAAGCAGGAGTGGAGCAGGGGACCCTCCCAGAGATGCCAGAGAGGTTTTCTTTCTCCTTCCAGGAGGGGACCGGCCCCTGGGTGGGGCAAGGAGAAAGCTCCCGATTCATATTGAGTTCAGTTTCTCTCTCCAGCCCGACCCGCCCACTCTCAGGGCCCGGACAGGGCGGGGGGGTGGGTGCCATTTGCATTTGGGGATTTTTTCACGTTTCCTATTTATGAATATTAAAAAGTCTTTATATCACATCTATTTTTGAAAACTTGGAGAAGTGGCCTCTTTGGGACCCTCAGAGCCAGAGTGCGAATCCTGATCCATTAAACCGATTCTGAAACAAAAAAAAAAAAAAAAATTGAAGGACTGGATTATAAAGGTTATATTAGGCTCTAGTTTTATTATTTAGTTTTGTATAGGAGTAGGAAATCTTAGGGGTTTATTGAGCTTTTAGCTTTCTGTCCTCTCACATGAAAAAAAAGGATTAAAATGGAAAAAGGGGAGACTGGGGTTGTGGCTCAGTGGTAGAGCACTTGACTGGCACATGTGAGGCACTGGGTTCGATTCTCAGCACCATATAAAAATAAATAAGTAATAAGAAAAAATAAAGGTATTTGTATCAATCTACAACCAAAAAAAAAAAAAAAGAGAGAGAGAGAGAAGAAAAAGGGGACTGGGGTTGTGGCTCAGCTGTGGAGCGCTTGCCTAGCATGTGCAAGGCCCTGGGTTTGATCCTCAGCACCACATAAAAATAAATAAAATAAAGGTATTGTGTCCAACTACAGCTAAAAAATAAATACTAAAAAAATGGCGGGGGGAGACCCAACTATTTACTTCCCCTTTTATCTAACCTTGCCATGTGGGATCAGAAGACAGTATGAATTCTCTCCTTGGTTACCTAATGGGAAAGGAGAAAACTCAACTCAAGATGAAGCTTCCTGTTTTGTTTGCTTACACATATTCTGTGTTCAGTTGTTGATGTAATTGGAATCAGTTTTATGTGATGAGCTACATCTTTGGTGCCCTTGCTTTCCCTGCTTCTCTCTACTCCACCCCAATTCTAGGAGCTCAATCATCTTTTTCATTGATAACCTCGTTATGATCAAGAAAGTATGGGACAGTAAAGGTAAAAAATACTGTTTACCAGGTCCCCAAGGGGATAATCAGGATTTTATTCAGGTACTTGGCCTCTTAAATTTACTGTATCTATTTGAAAAAAATGTTTATATATACTAAAAGCCTTTTAGTCGAAATAAATTTCAAATCTAGAGTATAAGCAAACAGAATACATTTCTTCTTATTTCTGAGTCAAATTATTTAATTAATCACTGGTTATCCAAGCACTTGCTTCTCCCACCTCTTTCTGCTTCCTGCTTTGATTGTGTGTGTGTGACCAGGAATTGAACCTAGGAATGCTTAACCACTGAGCCACATCCCCAACCCTTTTTTTTTTTTTTTTTTTAATTATAGACAAGGTCTTGCTGAGTTGCTTAGGGCTTCACTAAGTTGCTGAGGCTGGGTTTGAACTAGCAATCCTCCTGTGTCAGCCTCCCAATTTATGGGGATATAGGCATGTGCTACCACACCTAGCTGCTTCCTGCTTGTTTGGTGCCCTAAATATATATAAATATATATATTTAGTTGTAGATGGACACAATACTTTTATTTTATTTGTTTATTTCCATGTGGTGCTGGGGATCAAACCCAGTGCCTCAGGCATGCTAGGCTCTACCACTGAGCCATAACCCTGTCCCTGCTTCCTGCTTTTTTGTCTAATGACCTCTAAAATGATTTTGCTGTTCTGCAAAGTTCAGCTAATTTTGTTAAAGTGAAAATTTGTGGATTATCTGTGAATTGCATTGAACTTTGCCAGTCTCATCCATTTGGGGGTACTAGGGCTCTAATTTTTAGCAATTATTGTGTATTCTAAATTATAGATGTTATTTAAGCAATGGAATAATGACAAAGAATGATAAAGCTCATTATGAGCATTTTACTCAATAATGTTCATGTGTAGGATCATGCAACTCTGGGTCCCTTTACCCATTTAGGAATGCCTGATCAATGCTAAATATTAGAGATTCATGTCAGATTATAGTAAATTGTTGAGACCCACAGAAAATTATTCATGAATAAATATTATAAAATTATTATAAAATATTATTATGAAAATATTATTAAATATGGTATGCAAATACTTACCTAGGGAAAAATGCTGGCAAAAGAAATTATTTTTTAAAGAATAATAATCTCAGGGGATGGGGTTGTAGCTCAGTGGTAGGTGGTAGCAAATGTACTTAGTGATTCTGAGTTCAATCCCCAGCACCACAAAAAATTGAACCTTGAAATGGTTAACATAAAAGACATTGTAAAAAAACAAAAATAATCCAGGTGTAGTAATACATGCCTGTAATCCCAGCTATTCAGGAAGCTGAGGCAGACAGGTTACACGTTCAAGGTCAGCCTGGACAACTAGTGAGACCCTGTCTGGGGAGGAAAAAAAAAAAAGGTCGAGATATATAGCTCAATGGTAGAGTGCCCCTGGGTTCGATACCCAATACCTAAAAATAATACTAATAATAATAAGGGGAAAAAGTAAGAATTTAAAAAACCAAATGCAGCATAATCTATGCTTTTCTTTATAATAGTTGGCAAGAGTATTTCTGGATATAAAATTTAATCTTTGTATTCCTTTTTTCTATTTCAGGCTAATTTGTGCTTTGTGGACATTGACAACCATTTTATTGAATTGCCCGAAGAATTTCCACAGTTCCCCAATAAAGTGGATTTTATTCAGGAGCTCTCTGAAGTTCTTCTTCAATTTGGGATTCCTCCTGAGGGCAGCTTACATTGCAGTGAGAGTGCCACCAAACTGAAGAATCTGGTTCTGAAAGATTTGGTCAATGACAAGAAGAATGGCAATGTCTCCACTAATAATATCAGCATGTATGAGTTATTGAAGGGCAATGAAACCATAGCCCGCTTGCAGGCTCTGGCCAAGAGGACTGGTGTGACTGTGGAAAAAATGGACCTGTCTGCTTCTCTGGGTGAAAAAGAAAAGAATTTAAAACTGCAGTGTGAAGAGGCAGAACTGAGGGACTACCAGCTGAATGTACAGCTGAGAGAGGTCTTTGCTAACCGCTTTACACAGATGTTTGCTGATTATGAAGCATTTGTGATTCAAACTGCCCAGGACATGGAATCCTGGCTGACCAACCGGGAACAGATGCAGAACTTTGACAAAGTAAAAGAGCCATAGTTTTCCTTCTTTATGGTTCTTAGTTGATTACATTACTTGATTTTGTTAACTTTTTTTAAACACAAAATTTTCCCGTCTCCTGTCCCACTAAGCACTTTCTGTCACCAATATTTTACACTAATTTTACAGAAAGGCAAACCAACCAGCTTATAAGACTGGCTGTTAAATAACCTGTAATCTCAATTTAAAATTTTCTGTACTTTGACAATGCTTAAATTATAGAAACTTTTTTGAGGGGTAGGAGTTAACCAGGGATTGAATTCAGGGGCACTTAATCACCAAGCCACATCCCCAGTCCTTTTTATTTTTTATTTTAAGATAGGATCTTGCTAAGTTGCACAGGGTCTCACTGAGTTGCTGAGGCTGGCTTTGAACTAGTGATCCCTCCTGCCTTAATCTCCTGAGTCACTGGGATTACAGGCATGCACTACTGCATCCAGGTAAATTATAGAAACTCCAAACAGCTTTTTCAAATCTGTTAATACTGCCTGACCTTATAAGGCTTTTGTTTACCCTTATGTCAAATCTAGTCAAATGAAGGCTATTCCTTTATAAAGAAATCTTAATTCTCTCTCTTTTTTTTTAAGATGGACACAATACTTGTATTCTATTTATTTATATGTGGTGCTAAGAATTGAACCCAGGGCCTCACATATGCTAGGCAAGTGCTCTACCACTGAGCCACAACCCCAGCCCAAGAAATCCCAGTTCTTATATTTAACCTTCATCCTTTAATGGGATCACAATGTGTCCATATAAAGGTAACAAATAATTTAGTTTCAAAAGCCAATTTTTTTTTCATTTTAGAATCATAAAAGATAAAGAGTGAACAAATCAGGTTTTATGACTGTTAGTCTAAGACTATTCCAAAGTTTTTGGAAAAGAAAGACAAAAATGACACTAGCTTTTGATTCTCCTATTGAAGCTTTTTCCCTAAGGTTTACTGTATTCTTCTACCAGATTTTCTTTACATATTCCTCAGACTTTTTTTTTTTCCTCCCCCAGACAAAAGCACTTAGAGATGTGCATTAACTCCTTTAAGTCACTAGGGTATAGTTCAGGCCCCTGCCTGTGTGATTGCTGAGGCATAATAATGCTATAAAAATGAATCATGGTGTTCACTCACTAAGTGGCATCTTTTGGTCATGAAAGACCTCCCAAAGGGGCTAATGCACTCTAAGAGGCTAATGTACAGTCTTGTAGCATCTGACAAGTAAGTATTAACTAAAATTTTGTGTAAACACAGGTAGAATGGAATATTTTCTGATTTTATCAATTTTTTTTTCTGATGGAGAATAATATGCCAGGAATGTCAGAATTTGCTGATTTACTCCATTTCATTAAACTTTTGGGGTGAGGTGAAGGTGGCAGGGTTTGGGCTTGCTAGGTAAGCAGTCAACCACTGAGCTAYATCACTAGCCCTTTTTTCTTATTTTGAGAAGCCAGGGTTTTGTAAAATAGCCTGGGTTGGCTTTAAATTTGTGAATCAGTCTCACCTCTGCCTCCCAACTAGTTGAGATTAATAGGCATGCATCACCTTACCCAGTTTGCTTAAACTCTGTAATTTAAGAAATTTTACTTCTTCAAATGTATTCCTACTCTTAGATTTCTTTCTCATTTACCATAACTTTTTTCCTATACTTTTTCCTATCTAGCCTGGAACTAATCTGTGTTACATTCATGATATATCCTTGGGGCAATTCAAATTCTTAAGTCAAGCTCTGGTACTTTCTTCCTTCTTTTTTATTTTTTAATTTTTTTACTTTCTTCTTTCTTAAGTTTTATGTCGCTTCAATCTAGAAGTGAGATTGCCTTTATATAACCCCTAAGAAATGAAAGTTTCATGTTGCACTCCAGAAGGCTATTATGTAAGACATTATTAGCTCTGCAACCCAAGTCTTTTTTTCCCCACCTTAAGTATTGTATGTAGTCTATGATGTCTGAACCTCAAAAGCCAGATACATATGGCTCATTTTATTTTTAAAAAGACTATTTGCCCTATAAAAAGTAAAATTGATGTTTATCTATAAAATGCCTTTTGAGGAGGGCTGGGAATGTAGCTCAATAGAGTGCTTGCTTCACATGCACAAGGGCTTGGTTCAGTCACTGGCAACAACAATAACAAAAAAATGCCTTTTGAGGAATTGAGCTGATTTCTAGAGATACTGTGAATCTTTCTCTAGTCATTTGGATTTATGTAAGTAACATCTGAACTACGGAAGTACAAAGATTGGATATGTACATTTCTATAAGGAAGTATTTAAAGTCCTTGGAAATTTCAGAATGCAAAATATGCTAGAAAGAAGCTGATGAGTATTAAGAATAGTAACCTTAGGCCAGGCATGGTGGTGCATGCCTATAATCCCAGCTATTTAGGAGGCTGAGAGAGAAGGATTGCAAGTTCAAGGCCAACCTGGGCAATTTAGCAAGACCCTGTGTCAAAATAATTTTTAAAGAAAAAGGCTGGTGATGTAGCTCAGTGGTATAAAGTGCTTGCCTAACACATGTGAGGCCCTGGATTCAATCCCAGTACCCCAAAAAAGGGAAAGACAAAGTAACCTTATTTGGAACTTACCCTTTCATCTTTCGCCTTCTGACTTCTGCCATACTTCATCTACTCAAAAGGAAAGTAAAGCAAAACCAGCCCACTGACTGAAATCGTAATTCACTTCCAAATTTCCCCTAATACCAAACTGAGACTAAAATTCCTAGATGTATATACCTGAAGAATAACAGAAAGAAGTGAATACTTTAGATTAGAAACTGATTACAATTTATTGAACCATTCCACACATTAAACAAGCTAGTAATATGAAAGTGCAGTTTGTTGCATATGTTTTCCAGAAGCTTGCTTATAATGATTTTTCAGGCAATGGTTTTGTTTTTGGGTTTTTTTGGKKTTTTTTTGTTTTTTTTTTTTTTAGTAGTTTAACCCCAGACTGCAACACAGGTCTGCAAGCAGTTTGATTTTGAGTTAAAAGATTTACAGCCTAAAAAGAATCCACTTGAAGAACAAAAGAATTTCACCCATAAGCACAAATTCTATGTGGTCATTTTTAAAAGTTATTGCTAATATATATCTCATTGCATCAGTTAATCATCTCATTGCCTTATGGGATGGCATAAACTAGTAATAGAAAGGCGAAGAAACTACTCACTGGGGAGAGGGATTAAAATTTAATGGTAAGTGAAGTGGATGATTGACAATTATATAGCAACTTAACCCTGTCTTTCACCAGTGATGCCCTCTTGTCTGCATAATGGTCATTAGGATCAGCATGTAAGAAAGGAATAAAGAGTGGGATTTTAAGGACTTTTTAATTTTATGTGTCAGTTTTATAGTTGTAAGATTAAAAAAGAATAACCTTAGCAACAGATAATTATCCCATTTGTCATGTAGTATTGTGATGGTAATAATTTGCCAATTATTTCATTACAGGCTTCTTTCCTTTCTGACCAACCTGAGCCTTATCTGCCATTTCTTTCACGATTCATTGAAACACAGATGTTTGCCACCTTTATTGATAACAAAATTATGTCTCAGTGGGAAGAGAAAGATCCTTTGCTTCGAGTCTTTGATTCTCGCATTGAGAAGATAAGATTGTACAATGGAAGGGCACCCACCTTACGGACATCTATATATCAGAAATGCAGCACTTTAAAAGAAGCAGGTACATTTACCTTGCCTTTTAAAATTAAAGTCGATGATTATTTCTTTCTTCGTATTCTTGGTCTAAAATATCACAAAATTCATTTTCTGTCTAAGATACCATGGCTAATCTTGATTATTATACCAAGAAGTGCTTTCTATAGTTTTCTATTTCTTTTTAATTTAAAATGGCAAATCTGAGATGCTGTCTAATTTGCATAACTGAAATGGTATATTTGATTTACTAGTACCATTAATTATATAGCTTCATTTATTGAGATTAAATCACTGGATTTTTACATTCAAATTAGAGATTCTTTGATCCCTGACACCAGTTTTTCCCCTCATAGAATTATGAATCTTGGCCAGTTTTGCTTAGCAATTATTAACAGCCAATGTTTACCTACTATAGACCAAGTATTTTACGTGCATTTTTGCATTGAGCTTAACAACAAGGAGGTATAGGCAAACTTATTTTGCAAGGCCCTGGATTAGATACTCAGCACCACATACAAATAAATAAATAAAATAAAATAAGGGTATTGTGTCCAGCTACAACTAAAAAATAAATATTTTTTTAAAATATGTGACAGGCTGGGCATGGTGGCACATGCCTATAATCCTGGTGACTTGGGAGGCTGAGGCAGGAGGATCATGAGTTCAAAGCCAGCCTCAGCAAAAGCGAGGTGCTAAGCAACTCAGTAAGAACCTGTCTCTAAATAAAATCCAAAATAGGGCTGGGGATGTGGCTCAGTGGTCAAGTGCCCCTGAGTTCAACCCCTGGTACCACCCCCGCCCCCCCAAAAAAAGAAAAAACTGAAATGTACCAATCCATCTAATTTTATACATTTATGCCTGGTTCCTAATCCATTCTTTGCCAAATAAACAGAAATCGATCACCTGAGTGCCCTCTCCTTTTTATTTTTCCTTTCAAATGTAGGAGTTGCTTAAGAGCAAATTTTCTGCCAAAGAAAAGGGAGATAGCAGGGCTGGGGATATGGCTCAAGCGGCATCGCGCTCACCTGGCATGCATGCTGCCCGTGTTCAATCCTCAGCACCACATACAAACAAAGATGTTGTGTCCGCTGAAAACTAAAAAATAAATATTAAAATTCTCTCTCTCTCTCTCTCTCTCTCTCTCTCTCTCTCTCTCTCTCTCTCAAATAAAAGGGAGATAGCAAATGTGGAGCTTCTTTGCCATTCTTGTTATTTGCTTGCCTTTCCCACATTATTTAAATAGATCATAAGTAGTGATGCTATAGTTTTATCACATTTAAGAAAGGAAGTAGTAAATAATCTTTTATGGTGCCATCAAGGTCTCTGAACCATCACCCTGTTATATTCCCATGTATAAGGGTAGATCCTTGGAAGCCCCACAGAAAATAGCAATTACTTCTGTGTTCCTAGAAATTAAGGTAGAATGAAATTGTCTATGCTTATCCCAAGAATATTATGACTTCCATTGTTTTAATAGCCATGTCAGTAATGTAATTATTGAACAAATCTCTTTCTTCTCTTCCTGACACAACTTTTAAAATAGGCCTGGAGTTGTGGCTTAGTGGTAGAGTACTTCTCTCATATGTGTGAGGTACTGGGTTTGATCCTCAGCACCAMATAAAAATAAATAAATAAAGATAATTGTGTCCACTACAACTAAATATATATAATATATATATATATATTTTAATGGAATTAAGGACCAATTCCTTAATTTATGTCCTTCTAAAAAATCCAATTAAAATAGAATTTCATTAAAATAGAATCTCTCAGAATTTGGCACTCCCACTGTCATCACAGAAATTATGTAAAACTCTTTTGAAAATGTAATATTGTAGACTTCATATATATGAAAACTAGATTAGGCTGAGGCAGTAATCTCCCAGGAATTTAATTTATCAGAATTTTTTTTTTAAAGGTAAAAGACAGCCGACTATAACTGCTAATCTCTCGTAAATGGTGCAATTACTTCTTTATCAGGTAAAATTGTTCTCATCCCCCAAATTGAGATTGGGGTGTAGTTGACATTGATTTTTTATTGGGTATTAAGATTTCGTTCTGTTTTTTGGCTTTGACGGTGTGTGTGTGTGTGTGTGTGTGTGTGTGTGTGTGTGTGTGTACACATACATGTGGATACTTTTGCTATTGTTTTGCCTCTAACCAAAAAGAATTTGATTTGCAGGTGAACTCTTTAGGCACAGGCTATCTGCTGTTGATATTGTGGCACCAGAACCTCATGAACTCTGTGCAGAAAGACAAGAAGTGGATAGTAATACAGTTTTTTTTTTCTTTACCAACCACTGCAAATCAGTATTGGCACAAATCTTTAAAAGTCTAACAACAGAACCTGACCTCTCAAAGCAGGCATTTGATAATTTCTGAATGTTCAGTATTCACTGGCTATATAATCACTGAAAAGTAACATTGCAGAAAGTAACAAAATAGAGCAGGGATGTGGCTCAGTAGTCAAGTGCCCCTGAGTTCAATCCCCGGTACTCCACCACCAAAAAAAAAAAAAAAAAAAAAACATTGAAATTCAAGGTTTTGAATAAATTCATACTTTTTGTGAGGGAAAATTAGAGAGGCTTAAAGTCTAATATTTTGAAGTTTAAACAATGGAGAGCAGTAGTTAACTTCAATACAGCATCCCAGTACCACTATAAACACCAATAATTGGCTTAGGTGGAGCCAGTGACAATAAGCGTATTATTTTGACAAGAATGCAAAGTGTCATAGATGAATTTCTCTCCAAAAAAAAAAGTTTAGAATATGGGGAATAACCAGCAGGACTCAGTCTACTGGCAATGAAAAGGGGGAAAGTAAATGAATTCTATGAAATACTTACCTTATTAGTTACCTTATTAGTTTTTGTAAGTCACAAGATCAGCAATTCCCATAGTCTGCTCTAGTTATCACACAACCACAGTTACTGCATATTATCACTTTTTAGTAATCTCTAATGAAAGGATTGGAGACCTAATCTCTTATATTTTCTCTTGAAGATTCAGTTGATAAAAACACTTAAGATCAGGATTGTCCCAGCTTACTTGGGAGGCTGAGGCAGGAGGATAGCAAGTTTGAATCCAGCTTTGGCAACTTATCAAGACCCTTTTTCAAAATTCAAAAAATGGGCTAGGGGGCTGGGTGGCTCAGTGGTAGAGTGCTCACCTAGCATGCATGAGGAACTGGGTTCGATCTTCAGTACTACATAAAAATAAAGATATTATGTCCACCTAAAACTAAAAGATAAATATTTTTTTAAATGGGTTAGGGATATAGCTCAGTGGTAGAAAAATCAGGATTTTGTTTGTTTTACCAGTAAAAATAGATTACTTTCTATTTTATGAGTCTTTGAGACTTTCTCCAACACTACTAAATTTAAAGTGTTTTACAACAGTGTTGAATAATTCCTGTCTTTTAACTTTGACCTATTTTAATTCTCCAAAAGGACAATTTCTTATTCTCTGGACATTTTCTAAATGCCTGCTTATTTGACTTCTCTGCTTTACCTTCTTGATCTAATAAACATTCCTAAATCACTCTTACTAATGAAGAATGTGAATGTTGCTAAAAGTGAGGTAATAAACTTCACACAGTTCCTTGTTTTTATTGATGGAGAACCATGAATATTTAATGAGTCTTTACACAAAGAAAGTAACAAGACTACTTACTATACTTGCATCTTCCTTCTCTTTACATTGTCTTTCAGCTCAAGAAAATACTTTATTTGCTAATATTTTCTTTAATGTTGTACCTAGAATCATTTTTGTTAAGCATATTAAATATCCCACTTTAATAAAATTGTTTAAGTACTAAATTACAGATTTTTCAACCCAGCTACCATACTTTTGACAAAGTAATGAAAATTAATCATCTAATGTTTATTTAAAATTAACYTTTCTATATATATATGATATGATTTCTGAAGAGGATTGGTAAAACTGTTTCACAGTGTCAGTATGATTGAATTCTCTATGTGCATGAGTTGAAGAAGCATTATTTTTSAAGGTTTAGCAATAAAATATCTCTAATCTGTTACATATTTAACTTATAGCCCAATCAATTGAGCAAAGACTGATGAAAATGGATCACACTGCAATCCACCCACATCTACTTGATATGAAAATTGGTCAAGGCAAATATGAGCAAGGGTTCTTTCCAAAGTTACAGTCTGATGTCTTGGCAACAGGACCAACCAATAACAAGTAAGCACCTTTTTTAATTAACTAGTTGATGAAAGGTGGGATGTTTTGCAACTCTGATTAAAGCAGCCTGTCACCATTAAACTCTATCTATGTGATGGCTTCTTTTCAAAATCACATTAATCTATTTGAAAGGTGGCTTTTTTTCACCCAAAGAACAGTGTGTACTAGTGGGCTGGGGTTGTGGCTCAGCAGTAGAGTGCTCACCTCGCACATTCGAGACCTTGGGTTTGATCCTCAGCACCACATAAAAATAAATAAGTGAGGGGCTGGGGATGTGGCTCAAGCGGTATCGCGCTCACCTGGCATGCGTGAGGCACTGTATTTTGGTCCTCAGCACCACATACAAAACAAAGATGTTGTGTCCGCCGAAAACTAGAAAATAAATATTAAAAAAAATTATAAAAAAATAAGTGAAATGAAGGTATTGTGTCCAACTACAACTAAAATATAAATATTTTTTTAAAAGAATAGTGTACTAGTGAATACCTTTTTTTTTTTTTCCTATAAACCCTGGACCACACTTTAAATGTCTGTTTACATATAATGCTAATACAATCTAATGGAATTTTTAAAAGTTGTACCTTTACCATCTAAATATTAGTTTCTTTAGACTGCCATAATAAAATACTACAAATTAATGGCTTAAAACACTGAAATTATTCTTTCACAGTTCTGGAAACTAGAAGTCTGAAATCAAGGTTTTGGCAGGATTATTGCCACCTCCCAGGACTCTTAGGGGATGATTATTACTTTCCACACCCTTCTACTCCACCTACCCGCTTACCAGTCCCCCAGGGCTGGGGATTGAACCCAGGGCCTCACACATGCCGGGCAAGCACAAAACCAGCTGAGCCACAATCCCAGCCCCTCTACCACCTTTTGGTAGCCCCAGTAGCTCCTTGGCTCGTAATAACATAACCCCAGTCTCTGTCTTCTCATGTTCATCTTCTTTCTATGTTTGTATCCATATTTTCCTCCTCTTATAAGGACACCAGTCACATGCAATTGGGGCACTCCTTAATGACCTCATCTTAACTTGATTACATCTGCAAAGACTTATTTCCAAATATAGTCATTTGGTAGGTACCCAGGATTAAGACTTCAGCATACCATTGTGGGGAACATGATTTAGCTCATATACCATCTTTTGGTATCAAGTACAAAAAATTACAAAGCAAAAATTAAGATAAACCCTATAATTTATGATAGATGAGACCATTCAGAAAATATCTAAATATAGTTAGAATTTTAAAAAGAAGGCTTGAGGGCCGAGGTTGTGGCTTGGTGGTAGAGCGCTTGCCTAGCATGCGTGAGGCACTGGATTTGATCCCAGGCACCACATAAAAAAAAATAAATTTAAAAATAAATAAATAAATAAAATAAAGGTATTGTGTCCATCTACAACTAAAAAAAGGTTTAAAAAAAGAAGAAGAAGGCTTGAGATATACTCAGTGGTAGAGTACTTGCCTCGTATGTGTGAAACCCTGAGTTTGAGCCTCAGCACTGCCAAAAAAAAAAGAACTGAAAACAATTATAATATTTGGGTTTAGGTAAGTTCTTGATTATAAGTGAATACTATTATTTTATTATCAAGTGAATAATAAGAGGTTTAGAAGAAAGGAAGAAAAGAATATTAATAGATATGGGATAAGTTGGAAAGAGTGAGCATTGAATTGAAATATCAGCAACATTAGAATTTACTTCAATTTTTAATTTTTTATTTGTTTTAATTAGTTATATATGGCAGTAGAATGCACTTGAATACTTTGATATATCATATACATAGTGGGATATAATTTCTCATTTTTCTGAGTATACATATTATAGAATCACATTGGTCATACAGTCACATACATACATAAAGTAATGATGTCTGTTTCATTCTACTGTCTTTCTTATCCCCACATCCTCTGCCTTCCCCTCCTTTCACTTCCCTCTACCTAATCTAAGGTAACACTGTTCTTTTTTCTTTTTCTTTTTCTTTTTTTTTTTTTTGCATTACAATTCTTAATACACACATATACGACATGTATCTCTGTTTGTATATAAAGTATGTTGACTTCATTCTTCAGCTTGGGAACCTTGGAGGAACTGAAATTATTTGCCACTTTTCTCATGTGAAAATATTCTATACTTCTACAGCATCTGTGATCTCCTTATTAAAGAGGCTCAGAAAAAAAGTATAAAGGAGCCAAGCAGTGGGAAAAAATGGGATACAAGACTGAAGTAAAAAACTAGGTACAGCTGGGTGTGGTAGTGCACACCTGTAATCCCCCCTATAATCCCAGCAATTTTGGAGGAAAAGGCAGGAGGATCATAAATTCAAAGCCAACCTCAGCAATTTAGCAAGACCCTCCTCTCAAAATAAAAAGGGTTGGGAATGTGGCTTAGTGTTTAAACCCTGGGTTCAATCCACAGTTCCAGAAAGAAAAAACTAGGTACTCACAATGAAGTGGCACTGCCACCTGAATTTTCAGAAGGCAAGTAGTGAAACAAGGTACTTAAAAGTGTGGTGTTTCTACCTATCAGATGATCTGCTGAACTGTGTTGTAGAAGTTTTTGTTTTTATTCCCCAAGATGCTTATCATGATTCTGTTGGTCAGGAAAGAGGAAAACAGTAAATTACCTTTGTAATGTGTGCTGGTAACATTTGGTTTAGTTTAATAAATACTGTACCAATGTATGTATTGGAGTATAAGAGATTTATTTGGATGGGTGAATATATAGTAATATTTGTTAGAATTTAATATACTATTTCCAAGACAGAAACAAGCGGTCTTAAGTATTTCAGCAATTGTGATCATCATTGGTAAAATCATACTTACTAACAAATGTTTAATATGGGCTCGGGTTGTGGCTCAGCAATAGACCGCTCGCCTAGTGTGTGCAAGGTCCTGGGTTCGATCCTCAGCACCACATAAAAATAAATAAAACAAAGGTATTATGTCTAACTACAACTAAAAATTTTTTTAAATATTTTTAAAAAATGCTTAATAATGCAAGGAATGAATAAATTATTTAAGACCAGGAAAGTATGGACTTTATAATAATTTTCTTTATAAGTTTGTTTTCCTAAAGCCTTTTCCACTTTTGCTTACCAAGGAAAATGTTCTACCATTTACATTTTGCTTCTTCATTTTAAGTTTATTAGGTAGTATTTATATTGTTTCATATTTTTATTTTATTTGGACTACCCTGCCCCCTAGCCCTAATTTTTTTTTTTCTTCAGTGCTAGAGATCAAACCCAGGGCCTTGCACATGCAAGACAAGTGCTGTGCCATTGAGCCACACACTCAGCCCCCTCCCCCAACTTTTTTTTCAATTTTATTTTGAGACAGGATCTTCCTAAATTGCCCAAGCTTGCCTCAAACTTTCAATTCTTCCTCCTCAACATCTGAGATTATAGATATATGCTACCACACCCAGTTTAGCCTTAATTGTTTTAATCCCTAAACAAATTTTATTGTCTTAGACTGACCTTTTTTGCTTCAGGGCTAATGTCAAGAACTCTTATGTCAAAGAGCTACATCTAGGACTTTATACATTTTATTTCTTAATATATGTTCATCACTTCCCTTATATTGTATAAATTCAACAGCTATTTATGTGGTTTAGTTGTTCTAAAAATAAGTTTTAGATTTTGTGTTAAAAAAAAATAGATTTTGTGGCTGGGTGCAGTGGCACAATGCCTCTAATCCCAGTGGCTCCTGAGGCTGAGGCAGGAGGATCATGAGTTCCAAGCCAGCCTCAGCAAAAACTAAGCAACTCAGTGAGACCCTGTGTCTAAATRAAATATAAAATAGGGCAGAGGATGTTGCTCAGTGGTTGAGTGCCCCTGAGTTCAATCCCTTGTACCCCCCCCAAAAAAGAATTAGATTTTATGTTACTTTGATCAATTGATAGGTGGTACTTAGATGAAATGAAAATTTGTACAATAGTCTTTGAGGGGGATAAGAGATAATTAATTAATAAAGAGCAGACATAATGATTTATGGGAATTAATTTAGGAAATCAACAACTAATATGAGACTAGGGAATAGGGAAGTAAGGATAGTTGTTTTAGTTAGCTTTTTCTTTGCTGTGATCAAAAGACCTGACAAGACCAACATAAAAGGAATAAATTTTATTTGGGGCTCATTGTTTCAGAGGTCACAGTCCATAGATGGCTTACTTCTTTGCTCTGGGCCAGAGATAAGGCAGGACATCATGGCAGAAGGGAGTAGTGGAGAAAAGCAGCTCAGTATATGACAATCAGGAAGCAGAAAGAGAGTTCTCTGTTCACTAGGAGCAAAATATAAATCACAAGGGCATGCCCTTAGTGATGTAAGTCCTCCAGCCACACTGACCTGCCAAGAATTACCACCCAGTTAATCAATTAAAATGGATTAATGCACTGATTAGGTTAAGGCTCTCATTAAACCAATCACTTCAACTCTAAACTTTTTTCATTGTATCACAGATGAGCTACATGAGCTTTTAGGGTACGCTTCAAGTGTAAACCATAACAATAGCATTCATTCAGGATTTGAGGCTCCCTCCAGTAGGTTAAGTAGAAAGGAAATGATCATTACAGAGGAGAGGGTATTAGTGTGGAGAAGTTTAGGTGCTTTCCCCAAGGATTTAGGCTCAGAACAGAAAGAAAACACAAAAGGGGTTCTACTTGGGAATCAAGGCAAGGAAGAACTAATGTAACAAGAGATGGTAAGATAGTAGAGGTTAAGATTTCTGAGGTGCAAGAGTCTTGGATGGTCACTTGATTTAGTATGATGTTCTGGTTTTGGTTAAATTGGAGTGGGAGCAAAGTTATTTTGATTCAGGAGGCTTTCAGAATAGTAAGGTTAGGTTGTTAGTCTTTGTGTTTTCCCTTGTTGGAAAGAAAACTTGGCCATGTTCCAAATTCTTCTCTGATATAAAGATGATTGAGGTAAAAGATTGAGGATGATATAGCTGCATTTTATACACTGATGTATAGTCTTTAGATAGCTAGAGTGGCCACAAAAGTACCTTTGAATAAGGGAAACATTATAATATTTCTTTAAATTGCTCATACCACCCAGAACATGTGCCACAGTCTGGCTGGGCACAAATCACGAGCCACTGAAGCAGGAGTTTCAAACTTTATTTCTGAAACTCCCGCGAATGCCATGCACTCGGCCTTCTCCCGGGACACACTACACCAACAGGAAATCCCTCCTCTAGGATTCCCTCCTACCGCACTTCCCCAACCAATGGGAACTCTCCTGGAGTCCCGCAAGAGCTCCAAAGTAGCAGGCCTAGGCAGACAACAGGAGTCTAATCTCCAATTGAATGGGAATCTTAACATAATCATTATCATCTCAATGGCTTGCTGGGGTCACCTTTCAACCAAAAATGCCATGTGTCATTCCTACTTGGCTATGGCTCTTGGCAAACATGTTAATTGTTGAATCATTATTAACTAAACGCAAAGGTAATAAAATTAGAGTATTACAACTGAAATACAATTTGGATGCCAACAATTCAGTACCAGAGGAAACTATTATAGAACTAGCATTAATTTTATAATAAAGCATTTAGTAACAGAATGAAAATCACTATATTAAGAATTGGTCAGTTGAGGGGAAAGTGACATGAGGTAAGGTCAGAAAGAAAGGCCTGGCTGTTTAATTTTAGAGACCATGGGAAAGAGTTTAGGTTTTATTTCCAACGCGTTTTTCTGCCTATTTTAGTATTGTGTGTGTGTGTGTGTGTGTGTATGTATGTGTATGTATAGACACACACACATGTAATTTTCCCAAGATATCTGATAAATACAGCCTGCCTTTTCACAGAAACACAGTCATACAGTTTTACAGCTAAAAGGAATCACAGTGGTCATTTAATCTAACTCTTAGACTTTAGAGATGAGGGCTCACTTCTTATTTCTTAGAATCTTAATTTTAGAAAGCTGTTCCTTTTAAAAAAAAATAAAGGAAGCTATTCCTTTAAAAAGATTAAATCTCATGAATTTCTTTTGTTCTTTTAGAACACTAGAATTAAATAATTATAAATTTTGAAATGAGAATATTCTCCTTTGTATTAAAAAAATACCTGTAATATTTACTTTGAGTACACAGAGGCATCTCTTATATGTTTAACATAGTCAAAGACTCAAGTAAGAACAGATTTGTCATTTTGTGTATATATATATATATATATATATGTCTAACATGTACTGACCCTTTTTTGTTGTTGTATTGGGACTCAGACCAAAGGCCTTATACATGCTAGCAAGTGGCAAGTGCTATGATTGAGCTACATCCTCAACCCTTTTGACCCTTGATCCCTTTTTAACCTCAGTTGTTAAAAAGCATTGATTATGATAATGGTTGTATATTATCTGTGAATATAGCAAAACCATTGCATTGTATTCTTTAAATAGGTAAATCTTATGGTATTTTAATTATATCTTAAACCTATTATATGTTTTTAAAGAATTAATTTAAAAATAATTATCATCAGCTGTGTGGAACAATTCATTATTTTTATTTTAAAGATAAAGACCACATGTTTTTATTTAGCTTGTTGTCTTAATCTATACCCTCTGGGGTGTGGTTATTTTTTCAGCCGCTGGGTAAGTCGGAGCGCCACCACACAGCGCAGGAAAGAGCGCCTTCGCCAGCATTCCGAGCACATTGGACTGGACAACGACTTGAGGGAGGTATGTGAGCTGCCTGCCTGTTGTGTCAGGATGCAAGAGGCAGGAACTAGGCTTAATAAGCCAGCAGGTGTCATTGTGCAAATTCTTTCATGTTCTTTTAAAAAAACAGTTCAGTTATATTTTAAAATATTAATCTTTTTGTACTGACTTGTACCAGAAAATACCTTTTTTCCATATTTGTAATTTCCATACATCTGAAATAGGGCACTAAGAGAAGTCTTTTGTGTGTTATATCAAGTAAGACTGTGTTTAGGGTATATTTTTGGTCATTTGGTCTCCTATAGAGAAAAAAAAATTGCCAGAAACAGACATTTCTAAATTTCAAATATAATTTAAATTTAATAAGTAAAGATGTATGCTTTGTCCCTGGCTTAGTGACACCACCATAAAAGTGTTTAAACTACTTTTAAATTAAGATCCAAAGGTTTTGTTTGTAGTCTTTGAAAATAAAACTGTATTATACATTTGAATAATGTAAGTTTTGACTCTTTCTGTGATCAAAAGAAAAATGCAATCAGCAAACCTGTTAACTACTTTTTTTTAACTAAGCATAAAACAGTCGTTCCAAACATCTGTCACTTTTTGTTGGTGTGTTCATACATATGTGATATAAAACATTTTCTTAAGAACTGAAGCATCTCCTGTTCTATGCTTTTCTTTTGCTACTGTATTTTCTTCTTTCCCCCTCCCTTTTGCTATGATTTTATCATATGCATGCTTGTTTTGCTTGTCTCTCTCCCCCAATCCTTTATTTTTTTTTTTTTTTTTGCTTTTCTATCACTGGCACTATTCCATCCTCTTAGCCTTCCGGGGAACTTTTGGTCTGTCAGAACTCCATGGCATTCTGGGAGTGGGATCAGGGCCCACCTCCTCCTGCACGGCTTCCTAAAAAGTCCTTCTCTGAGTGCTGCCTGGTATGTTCTTTGCCTGAAAGTGCTTCACCAAATGTTCCCAAATTTTGTCTTTGGTGTTGCTTGAAATGATACACGTGTGAGTGCACATAGTTCTAGAATGCCTCACATCACTTTGTGAAATAAACTCTCAGCCTCTCCATTTTGCTCTCTGCTTTCTCTTGTGTTTGGTGCCTTTTTGTACTGGTGTGTGCCAATACAAGTAATTCTGTCCTATTAATAGTAGAACTGATTATTCAAACCCCTAGTCAGTGGAGAGTTTTTTGAAATTATATTGGAAATTGTGGTGGCACACACTTGTAATCCCAACAGCTTGGAAGGCTGAAGTAGAAGAATCACCAGTCAAAGGCAGCCTCAGCAATTTAGCAAGGCCCTGAGTAACTCAGTGAGACCCTGCCTCTAAATAAAATACAAAAAAGGGCTGGAGATATGGCTCAGTAGTTATGTACCCCTGGATTCACTCACCTATACAAAAAAAAAAAAATACACACACACATATGTACACATACATACATGTAAAATTTAAATACAGATTCTCGTGTAAGTATTTTCCAGAAGTGCAGAAGTGATTAAATTTCAGCTTTTCTTTTTCTAGACTTTATCTCCACAGCATTAAATTGATTTACTTTCCTGGTCTATATGTTGTTAGAAAATTCAGTCATCAATACAGAATTTTAGTGCGAAGGGTCATATTTGAGGTCATCTTATCCACTTGACATAATTTGACTAAAAGGGGCACAGCTAGGCATCTAGCCCAGGACTTCTGACATTCAGGCCAGGAGTCTCTTTCCATTAACCACACACACCAGGATGCACTAACCACAATTCACCTGAGGGCACAAGTAATTTAGGACTCTTGCTTGTATTTTTTTCCACATTATTTCATGAGTTTAGATTTATTTAATTTAACAATGGTCTTCTTTTCATTAGTTCAGCACCAATTAAAAGGATAGAGTGCTTGTTTATTAGAAAATTTAAGGAAAGCATGAACTAAAGAACACTTAGGTCTGAGTATGTTGGGATGAACCCAACTACTGCATATAACCATAAATATCTAATTAAAAAAAAAAATACCCAGGCACAGTGGCTCATGCCTGTAATCCCAATGACTCAGGAGATTGAAGCAGGAAGATTGCAAATTAGAAGCCAGCCCTGGCAACTTGGCAAGACCCTGTCTCAAAATAAAACTTAAAAAAAGAGCTGGGAATGAAGTTCAGTAGTAGAGCACCCCTGGAATTGACAGTACCAAAATTAAGAAGGAAGAAAGACACTTAGTTCAATGTTTATTGAATAATAGGATATGTTTTCATTAGGTATTTTCTAGCGGCTTTTTGCTTGTGTTTGACAAGATTAAAAAGCACAATAGGAATCCCAAAGAAATCTGGGATTTTTTCCCCCATAGAGAAACCGATTTTATAATAAAAATATTCCTTGTGAAAAGTTTCTTTCTTCTCTATTTTCATCTCAAAATATATCAAAATACATAAGCAGGCAGAGTGGCGCACGCCTGTAATCCTAGCTGTTCAAGAGGCTGAAGCAAGAGGATCTAAAGTTCAAAGCCAGCCTCAGCAACTTAGCAAGGCCTTAAGCAACTCAGTGAGACCCTGTCTCAAAATAAAAAAAATAAAGAACTGGGGATATGGCTCAGTGGTTGAGTACCCTGAGTTTAATCGCTCTTAATAAAAAACAAACAAAATCTTTTTCCAACTGCTATTTTTATTATCATTCATTTACTTTAAAGATGTTTTCTGTTTTTGAATTGCAGAAATAGCCTCCCTTCTTGCTATGAGAAGAGGCCTCTTGCCATCCCTGTATCCTTTCTTTGTAAATCCATGGGGTGTGGCTAATTCTGTGGCTCCAGAAGGAGATTTTGCAAATGGCTGTATGAGGCCCACTGTTGACTAATATGTACACCTACCCCATGTGCTGGATGTTCAGAGACAGAGTCACTCAAAGAATAGCCCCCATCTGGCTTGTGTTCTTTTATATAAAACAAAACATAAATTAATAGTGCTTAATTTAGATTTATTCCAGAATTTTTAAACATATTTCAGGAAAAAGAAATGCTGGAGGCTTTTTCCCAGCCTCTTACCTGACCATGTTCTCATTCCCTTACTTCTAGATGATGTATTTCATCCTTAGCTAGTTTAGTACTTAACACTTCTTTAGAATGGTTCTCTATATTTGCGTAAGGATGGAGATATTGAACGTTATTATTAACACATAAATCCTAAGTATTAGCTATGAACTCTGGGGGTGGGGAAAGGATTCTTTAAATTTTAACAGTTAACATTTGTTTTTACCAACCTTCTACTCATTTTAATACGTATTCCAAATAACAATAGAAAATGCAAATATAATTCTTACACAGGGTTCAAGCCCTGTGTCTCAGGTTGATTATTCTGAAACTGCTTTCATTTGCTATATTTATTTATTTGTTTGTTTGTTTCAGTATATCTCCATATACCTTGTTTTATGTATTTAACTTCTCTGATAACAATTCTCTCATTCTCAATTTTCCCTTTTTTTTTTTTGACCTTCTCAAAAATATTTGAAGCAAAAAGTATATATCAGTGCTGTGGGAACTAAATGCTTGCAGAATTCATTTGATTTTTAAATCTTTCTTAAAATAATTAGTGGGAAAAGGAAACATTATTTTATTAATCAGTGGGATTTTTTAAATATTTTTATCATATATAGTAGATTCATTTTCTTCCAAAGGGGAAATATATCAAACCTACGAACTCTTACATTTAAAGAACTCAAAGGATTATACACATCTTCTATTATCATATTAAATTCTCCCCAGCTGGGCGTGGTGGCACACGCCTGTATTCCCAGTGGCTGAGGAGTCTGAGACAGGAGGATCACGAGTTCAAAGCCAGCCTCAGCAAAAGTGAAGCGCTGAGCAACTCAGTGAGATTCTGTCTCTAAATAAAACACAAAATAGAGCTGGGATGTGGCTCAATGGTTGAGTGCCCCTGAGTTCAATTCCTAGTACAAAAAAAAATTCTCCCCTTAATATAGTAAGGATTGCTGTCACATATGTGCCCATGGGAGGATGTGTGGATATGCTGGCTTGCAACCACTATCTTGCTCACTCTCCCTGCAGCAAACTACTAGTTTTACTATATAATTTAGTCTAGCTATTCTCTAAATATGGTCCCAAAACACTTGGGTCTTTTGGAAATTCTGCCCTGTGATTCTGATACAAACATGAGATATGTAGATGTGAGTTTTTCAGATAGCATAGAAAGAAGGCAACATAGTGTGCACATGTTCTACACTAGTTGTGTAGTTTTGTTTGGGGATTTTGGGGGTTTTTTTGGATGAAAATTTATTAACCAGAGTTCAAGAGCATTGTGTTGGGTTTCTGTGGAACTTCCAAATCTCCATAGACTCTAAACTTAACAGTATAATCCCACTCTTTTATGATTGTAGAACAAGGCAAGGGAGGGCTTTAGCAAACTTCACAGAAAGAAGAGACCTTGTATTTGAAGCACACCATCCTTTTCCCCGTGATTTTACAGCTTTATTTTTTTTTTTTTTTTTTTTAACCTTGGTGCACTTGTTTTATGCCCATTTAACAAGCTGAGATACAGGAACGTTAGTTGATATGCCTGAGGTCTTACAATTAGTTGCAACATGATTCTAGAGCTCCTGATTTTACTGTTGTGACTTGATTAGAACAGCAAGTTGAGCTGGAGAGCACTGTCCAAAATAGTACAGATAAATGAAGTCTTTTTGTTGTATGGAGAGAGGAGTGGAGGAAGCCAGTGATGCAAGAACCACTGCACTCCTATAGAACCTAGACTTGTAATCCAAACACCTCAATTTTGTTGTTCTGTGATCCTCACTAATCACACTTTGGATAGTCACAATAAAAAGAGTAAACTAAATGAAACTCCATATCACTTTGAATTAGTTTTAATCTGATGAGGTCTCTGTTACCCTCATCTTCACAGGCATTAACAGGTTGTGATAGGAGTACAAACGTCTCTGCCTTTTAGTGCACTAAAGCTTTAATTGTTGTTGCACACATACTTACTGCCTTTTTGCATCTTGTTTGTTCCCGCATTTGTTTGTATAAGGTTAAGTAGAATAGAAAAAAATCTTATGTTAATGTTTTTTTAAAATACTCTTAATTTTTAGAAATACATGCAAGAGGCACGAAGTTTAGGAAAAAATCTGAGGCAGCCCAAATTGTCAGACCTTTCTCCCGCAGTGATTGCACAGACCAACTGGAAATTTGTAGAAGGCTTATTAAAAGAATGTAGAATGAAGGTATGTATTACTAATGCCACACAGTACTCATTCATATTCACACCATGTGTGGGGCTAAATGAGCTGAGTCAACCCTCATTCATGCCTATAGTTTCCTAAAACAAAACTTTTCCAGTAGCATAGCCCTCAGGTGCCCTTCTCTGAGGTCCTGAACCTCCATGGACTTTCCCATGGCTCACAGCATCAGTGACATGGGAGCCCGGCATAGTTTCTCATCTTTTTAGCTATTGTCTTCCTCTACTTCAATATAAATAGATGTTAAGCCATTCACAAGTGTGTCAGGAATGTTGTCATCTTATGTAAAAGGCAGCACTTTTTTTTTTTTGTTTGTGTGTGCACCTCCTTGTCTGCACCCATACATTCATATGTACATCCATAAGGAGAAAAAAATTTCAGTCATATTGTTGGTTAGTGTATTATACCCCAGTCTCCTCTTGGATGCCTGAGTTTATATGACTTAGCAGTACAAACTGACAAAACTCAGAATGTCATTTTAGCTAATAATTTTATTCAGTGTTATTTCTTGAGTACTTTCTCTGTATATTCAATAAATGCACTATTTTATTTTTTTTTTATTCATTCATTCTAATTTGTTATATATGACAGCAGAATGCATTTTAATTCATAGTACACACATAGAGCACAACTTTTCATGTCTCTGGTCATACATAGAGTCATACCATTCGTGTCTTCATACATGTACTTGGGGTAATGATGTCCATCTCATTCCACCATCTTTCCTACTCCCCTGCCCCCTCCCTTCCCCTTCCTCCCTTAGCCCTATCTAAAGTTCCTCCATTCTTCCCATGCTTCCCCCCCACACCCCGCCATCCCCATTATGGATCAGCATCCTCATATCAGAGAAAACATTCAGCATTTGGTTTTTGGGGATTAGCTTACTTCACTTAGCATAATATTCTCCAACTCCATCCATTTACCTGCAAATGTCATGATTTTATTCTCTTTTAATGATGAGTAATGTTCCATTGTGTATATTTACCACAGTTTCTTTATCCATTCATCTACTGAAGGGCATCTAGGTTGGTTCCCCTGTTTAGCTATTGTGAATTGAGCTGTAAACATTGATGTGGATGTGTCCTTGTAGTATGCTGATTTCATGTCCTTTGGGTATAAACCGAGGAGCAGGATAGCTGGGTCAAATGGTGGTTCCATTCCCAGTTTTTCAAGGAATCTCCATAATGCTTACCAGAGTGGCTGCACCAATTTGCAGTCCCACCAGCAATGTATGAGTGTGCTTTTTCCCCACATTCTCACCAACACTTATTGTTGTTTATATTCTTAATAGCTGCCATTCTGACTGGAGTGAGATGAAATCTTAGAGTAGTTTTGATTTGCATTTCTCTAATTGCTAGAGATGTTGAACATTTTTTTTTATATATTTGTTGATTGGTTGTATATCATCTTCTGAGAAATGTCTGTTCATTTCCTTGGCCCATTTATTGATTGGATTATTGTTATTTTTTGGTGTTAAGATTTTTGAGGGCTGGAGTTTGGCTCAGTGGTAGAGTGCTCACCTCGCATGCACAAGGTACAGGGTTCAGTCCTCAGCACCACATAAGTTTGCTGATTTTACTGAAGATATTGTGTCCACCCAAAACTAAGAAATAAGTATTTAAAAGATTTTTTAGTTCTTCATATATCCTAGAGATTAGTGCTCTATCTGATGTGCATGTGGTAAAAATTTGTTCCCATTCTGTAGGCTTTCTGTTCACCTCACTGATTGTTTCTTTTGCTGAGAAGAAGCTTTTTAGTTTGAATCTGTCCCTAAATGCACTGTTTTCAACATCAGAATATAGTGGTGAATTGACAGACAAGGTCCCTGCCTAAAGGGACTAGATTCTTTCTCATTTTACAATTTACAAAAGCAGCTAAATTTGGTGTAAATTAATTTACCTAAAAGTGATTCCCATTTTCTTTCCATTTTCTTTGTGTATATATAATCAGAGAAGAGAGAAAAGAGAAGGGAAAATATATTTCTGGTTTATGCACAAATTAGGAAGTTCTGCAGAATCTTAGAACTGCCCATTTCTATTGTGGTTTTTGCCTAAATGCAAGTAAACTGAGTACAAATAGCTTTAGTATACCAAGTGCTAGAGTCAGTGGGAGGGCAAATTTTAGTGACAGGTTGTGATTCCAGTTTCAACAGTACATTTTTCTAGGTCTAGTGTAATTTCCCAGTGTCACAGAAGTGAAAATCTGAAAATTGTTGTATAAAAACACTTTTTCAATATGGGGATGCTTGATAAATATTGGGTTATTCTCTTTTTAGTGACCTTCCATTTCCAATTAGAAGTATAATAAAAAGCTGGGCATAGTAGCATGCACCTGTAATCCCTTGGGACTTGGGAGACTGAAACAAAAGAATCCCAAGTCCAAGGCCAGACATGGCAATTTAGCAGGACCCTGTCTCAAAATAAAAAGAGCTTGGAATATAGCCCAGTGGTACAGGGCCTCTGGGTTAAATCCCCAGTAATAACAACAAAAACAAAAGACATATAATGAAAAAAGCCAGTTTTCCTAATCCAGTAATCTCCTAACCCTAGTTTTTGGTTTTGCTGTCTGCGTAATTTTTGCATACTCATGATGTTTTCAGACAAAACGCATGTTGGTAGAAAAGATGGGACATGAAGCAGTGGAGCTGGGCCATGGAGAAGCAAACATCACTGGCTTGGAAGAGAATACCTTGATTGCCAGCCTCTGTGACCTACTAGAGAGGATATGGAGCCATGGCCTACAGGTCAAACAGGTAACAGTCTCCGAAAGTACTGGTGTCATGGTCATTTAGGAGCCCTGTTAAGAAATATAACAGGGGGGCTGGGGATGTGGCTCAAGCGGTAGCGCGCTCGCCTGGCATGTGTGCAGCCCAGGTTCGATCCACAGCACCACATACAAAGATGTTGTGTCTGCCGAAAAATAAAAAATAAATATTAAAATTTAAAAAAAAAAAAGAAATATAACAGGGAAAGCCTGGCATGGTGTCACATGTCTGTAATCCCAGCTACTCAAGAGGCTAAAGCAGGAGAATGACAAATTCAAGGCCAACCTCAGCAATTTAGTGAGACCCTGTCTCAAAATAATTGAAAAAAGGACTGAAGATGTAGTTCAGAGGTAGAGTATTTGTCTAGCATTCAGGAGGCCCTGGATTCAGTACCCAGTATCACCAAAAAAAAAGAAAGAAACTGGGTATAATGGCACATACCTGTAATCCCGGCACGTTGGGAGCCTCAGGCAGGAGGACTCAAGTTTGAAGCCAGCCTCAGAAGCTTAGTGAGGTCCTAAGCAATTTAGCAAGACCATATCTCAAAAAAAGGCTGGGGATGTGTCTTAGTGGTAAAGCACCCCTGGGTTCAATCCCCAGATCCTCCCCACCCCACAAAAAAAAGTGACAAGGAGAAAAGGATCACACAAAAAAAGGTGGGTTTCACCAGGAGTGGTGGTGCAAGATGCAAGCCTGTAATCCTCAGCAATTTGGGAGACTGAAGCAGGCAGATCATAAGTTCCAGGCCAGCCTTGGCAATTTAGCAAGACTGTGTCTCAAAATGAAATAGAGGTTGGGGATATAGCTTCCTGGTAAAGTACTCCTGGGTTCAATCCCAAGTACCACACAAAAAAGAAAGAAAGAAATGTGCCATGGGCATTTTAATTCCAGAAAAAGAAAACAACCTGTGATCAGGCGATAGTTTGGTATCTTTCCTGGCAAACAAGAAAGGATAAAGTAGCACAGTTATCCTGTGTAGATTTCATTAAATATCCAGGAAATGTCCTGCTTTTGTCCAGGAAAAAAGTGTAAACAGAATTAACATTTCTTGACCTGGGTTTTTTTGTTTTGTTTGTCTGTTTTGGTACTGGGAATTGAACTCAGAGGAGCTTAACCACTGTGCCACATTTCTAGCTCTTTTTATTTTTTATTTTGAGACAGGATCTTGGTAAGTTAACCAAGGCTGGCCTAGAACTTGTGATATACCTACCTCAGTCTCCTGAGTTGCTGGGATTACAGAAGTGCACCACCATACCCAGTTTCTGATTTTTTTTTTCTTATTATGACTCCCTGCTTCTCTTATTCTAATTTTCTTCCCTCATTGCTACTCCATATTTCAAACATTTTCATATGGGTGTATATAAATACACTATGTACTACTGGAGTTTTTTAATTCCATAGTTATTAATGTTTCCTAATTATATATAACTAACAGCTGAGTTGATTAAAAAAAAATCTTCAAACCCACCCTTCTGGCCTTCTGCTTCCCTTCCCTTTTCCAGACTCTTACCAGACTTCTTAGCAAGGCAAAGTATAACCCTTAAAACACATGGAGTGAGCCTGGTGTAGTGGCACATGTCTTAATCCTAGCAACTGAGGGCGTTAAGACGGGGATTGTGAGTTCAAAGCCAGCCTCAGCAAGGGAGAGGCACCAAGCAACTCGGTGAGACCCTGTCTCTAAACAAAATACAAAATAGGGCTAGGGATGTGGCTCAGAGGTTGAGTGCCCCTGAGTTCAATCCCCATACCCCAAAACAAACAAACAAATAACAACAACAAAAACCCACATGGAAAGAGATGCTCAGAATGTCACACAGGATTTAGCATGTAGCTCAGTGGTACAGTGTTTACCTATAATGTACAATGCCCTGGGTTAAATCCTCAGCACTGAGGAAAAAGAAAAATTATACAGTGAGCTTGGGTCACCAAACTTCATAATGGCCAATTTAAAGTGAATGATCTTGATGAGAAATTATTTTTTCATAAAATACTTATTTAAAATGAAAATTTTTATTTCTACTTTCAGGGGAAGTCAGCTTTGTGGTCACATTTAATTCAATTTCAAGACAGAGAAGAAAAACAAGAGCACCTTGCAGAATCACCAGGTAAGAGGGCTTTGCTTTAGGTTGTTTGAATTGGCAGCATCGGACCATGAAAAGAATCAATAACAGATGGGCTTGTCTCTGTCTTTTTCTCTCTCAAGCTAAAACATAGCCAGTTTTTCCAGTAGTAGGATAAAGCAGAAGCAGCATGATTATTTATTTTTTCAGGCCGGGAAAAGTTACTTGACTTTTCTCATCTGTGTGTGTGTATATGTATGTTACTGCATTAGATCCTACCACCAAGCTACAACTCCAGCCTTTTTTATTTTTTCTGTTGAGACAGGGTCTCACTAAATTCCTTAGAGTCTTGCTAAATTGCTGAACTGGCCTCAAGCTTGGGATCTTCCTGCAGCAGCTCCAGAGTAGCTGAGATTATTGGCATACACCACTGTACCAGGCGACCTTTCTGATCTTCTGCCCCACCATGTACAAGATAGGGGAAATAATGCCAAGGCAGACATGTTGATCAAAAATGAAAATCCCCAGTGAATTGTAAAAGACCATATAAGTATTCCTTACTCCCACCAACATTACACTATGGTGTATATTGATTTTTTTTTTTTTTGTCTTAAAGTTTTGTGACTATTACTAATCTTTTGCGAACCTGTAATCCCAGTGAATCAAGATGCTGAGGCAGGAGGAGTACAAGTTCAAGGCCATCCTCAGCAACTTAGGCCCTCAGGAACTCACATACAGTCTCAAAATTTAAAAATAAATAAATAAAAAGGATTGGGGATGTAGCTCAGTGGTAAAGTGTATGTGGGTTCAATCCCCAGTACCAAAAAAATAAAATAAAATCATCATCATCATTCAGGGAAAGAGTGTATCTCAATCTTCAGGAACTGGAGTTTTGGGGGTTTTTTTTGTTTTTTGTTTTTTGTTTTTAATTTTGTTAATTTACTTTTTGAGATGGGGTCTCTCTATGTTGACCAGGCTTTTTTCAAACTCCTGAGCTCAAGCAGTCTTCCAGACTTCAGGTGTTGGCACCACACCTGGGTTGGGAGTCAGATTATTCAGTTTATACAAAATATCACATGTTAAAGTGTCATAACGTTCTATCTTCCTGCTATTTATTTTTTCACAAAGAAAATGCAGAGGTGCTGGGCCCAGGGTCTTGCCCATGCTAGGCAACCACTTTATCACTGAGTAATACTCCCAGACTAGAACTTGCTTTTCTTTATGTAAAATAACCATTTATTTCACAAAAAGTAAAAATAACAGTGGGAAGCTAATAGAAATAAAATGTCTTATTGGAGCAGTCATTTAGGAAACTTTTCTAAAATTATAGAGTATTTCAAACATTCAGGAATATAAAAATGTAAAAACTTTTATAAACTCATTTGCTAATCACCAGCTTAAAACAAAAAATACATGGGCTGGGCTTGAGCACTCACCTAGCACACACAAGGTGCTAGGTTCAACAGACACACAAAGTGCTAGATTCAATCCTCAGTGCCACATATAAATAAATAAATAAAGATGTTGTGTTCAACTACAACTAAAAAAAAATAAAATAAAAAATACAGGGCTGGGGATGTGGCTCAAGCGGTAGCGTGCTCGCCTGGCATGCGTGTGGCCTGGGTTCGATCCTCAGCACCACATACAAACAAAGATGTTGTGTCCACCGAAAACTAAAAAATAAATATTTAAAAATTCTCTCATTCTCTCTCTCTCTCTCTCTCTCTCTCTCTCTCTCTCTCTCTCTCTCTCTTAAAAAAAAAATACAGGGGCCGGGGCTGTGGCTCAGTGGCGGAGCACTCGCCTAGCATGTGCAAGGCACTGGGTTCGATCCTCAGCCCCACATAAAAATAAATATTAAAAAATAAATAAATAAAAGATATAAAAATAATTGTAACAATCTTTATAAAAAATACAAACATTACAAACATTACAAATATGATTGAAACACCCTTGTATCCACCCCCTCCTCCTTTTTCCTTTCTGCCCTTAGAGGGCAACACTACCCTAAATGTGTTTATTGTTGGAAACCTAGTTTTAAAATATATTTAATCAGATAGCTAGGAGTATAAGTTGGCTTTTTCCTTTGTAAATTTTTTTATTTGTTCTAATTAGCTATACAGGACAGTAGAATGCATTTAGGCACTTTGTTATTTTATACATAAAATTTATTTTTCTGATTGTACATGTTGTGGAATCACATTGGTCATGATGTCATATGTGTACATAMGGTAATAATGTCTGTTTCATTCTACTGTCCTTCCTATCCCCATATCTCCTCCCCTCCCTTCACATCCCTCTACCTAAAGTAACTCTATTCTTCCATAACACCCCACCCCCACTTATTGTAAATTAGCACACACATATCAGAGAAAACATTGGCGTTTGGTTTTTTGGAATTGGCTTACTTTGCTTAATATGATACTCTCCAACTTGATACTATCATGCCCTGAAGCTCCTCTGAAAAAAAATGTCGAATTCCTGATGTCCCAGGCTATAATTATGTTTATAAAGATTCAGATTAAGTTTAAAAGCATTCTCTAATGTTCATCTCCTCTTCCCCTTTGTCTGTAAAGAAAAAGTAAAAATGTGTTGGCATGTGCTCTGAGTTGTCTCTAACAGAAAGTACAGCTGTTCAGACCATAAGACCATAATCAAGACAGCTTACCCTAATTTCTTTTTTTTTTTAACAGTTGCAGCAATTTTTTTTTTTTTTAGAGAGAGAGAGAATTTTAATATTCATTTATTTTTTAGTTTTCGGCAGATACAACATCTTTGTTTGTATGTGGTGCTGAGAATTAAACCCGGGCCACACGCATGCCAGGCGAGTGCGCTACCGCTTGAGCCACATCCCCAGCCCCAGCTTACCCTAATTTCACTTGCTTTTAGCCAAAAGGCTGAGAAATGGTTTTACCCCAATATTTAAAAAATAAATCCCTAGGAAGAAATAACCATTTGTAGGGTGAGATGTTAGAAAGTCAACATCAGTTAAGGTGGGGAGCATTCAGCTCTTGTGCCAAAATGAGGCATGTAAGACTGTCTAGCAGTTAGAATTAACAGCTGTTAGGCAACACCAGCAGCTTTCCTGGCTTTGGCTGATCAAATGTTGGGTGGTTCAGGTGGAGATCAGAGTATCGATTATCGCAATGCCTTCAGTTAGTAGTAGAACAAGCAAAACTAAAGACAAGGCTAAGGAATATAAAATGTGCCAAAGCCTCATGCATTGATTGTTTGTGCTCTAATGTCAAATGTTGATGAAGGGCTGGTAATGTAAGAATGAACACAAGTTAAATATTTTGCTGATCCTAAGTAAAATAAATATAAGCCATATAGCTTTTTTTTTTAATTTTAATATTTATTGTTTAGTTTTCAGCGGACACAACATCTTTGTTTGTATGTGGTGCTGAGGATCGAACCTGGGTCGAACGCATGCCAGGCAAGCGCGCTACCGCTTGAGCCACATCCCCAGCCCAGCCATGTAGCTTTTGAAATCAAAGTTTATCATATGTTTAGAGGGTGGATTTCAAGACTATTGCTCTAACACTTCTAGTGATTTAGTCTAGGAAATTCGAATTTAAAAATATGAGAGTAGCCAAAAGATTACACAGCTGTAATCTCAGCTACTTGGGAGGCCAAAGCAGGATGATCCCAAGTACAAGGCCAACTGGTCAGGTTGGCAAGATCCTCTCTGTCTCAAAATTTAAAAAGAAATAAAGGGCAGGGTATGTAAATCATGATAGAGCACTCCTGAGTTCAATACCCAGTACCACCAGAGAAAAGAGAATATGAAATACATATGAAAACATCAGTTTAAAAAATATTTTATTCTAGGACTGGGGATATATCTCAGTGGTAGTGTTTGCTTAGCATGTTCGAGGTCTTGGATTCAACTCCCAGTAGCACCAAAAAGTAAAAATTTTTAAGAAACAATATAGTGCTCTAGATACACAAAAATAATTTTTTTTTTGTTTTTTTGTTTTTGTAAGTCTGGATGTATCTCAATGGTAGAACACACAGTCAGCATTTGTGAGGCCCTGAATACCATCCCCAGCACCACACACACATGCACAAAAATTAATTTTCACCAGGCACAGTGGCACACATCTGTAATCCCAGCAACTAAGGATGCTAAGGCAGGAGGATCACAAGTTCAAGGCCGTCCTTGGCAATTTTATAAGACTGTGTCCCTTGTCTTGAAATAAAAAATAAAAAGGGGGATGTAGCTCAGAGTCCTTAAAGATTCGCAGGGGGTTTGAACACTGCTTTTACTGGCATTGAGCCCAGATGAGACTACATGATAGATTATTAGCATCATTCTTCAGAAGCAGCACTAACAGGAGTTACAGACATTTGGAGGATTGCAGAAGAATGGAAAGGGTCTATTTTAGCAAAAGGATCATAGTGAGTAGTCTGTGTTAACTTTGACTTAGCAATCATGCTCCTAGCAGTCTAAGTCCTGTTTCAGACAGTCTCACAATGCAATTGGTCCTAGAACAAGGACTGTTCTTAATATATCATCCAGAAGTTTCTGCCTTTAAAAATGGTGACACATGCCTGTAATTCTCACTATTATTTGGAAAGCTGAACCAGGAGGATCAAAAGTTCAAGGCCAACCTCTGCAACCTAGTAAGCCCCTGTCTCAAAATAAAAAATAAAATATTGGGATGTAGTTCAGTAGTAGAATACCCCTGAATCCAATTCTTAATAGTAAGTAACTAAATAAATGTTGGCTGGTTTATAATATGTGTTGTTCTTAAACCTTGCACCCTTAAAGTTCAATGAAACTGTACATAAATTTTTAAATCCTGTGTCAGGAGTTGAGGTAGATTAGCATACAAAGGAGTGGAAATGCTGTATTTAAATTCATCTTCTGGATTTGCTCATCTAGGAATATTGTATCACTCTTTAATCATCTTCATCAAAAGTTTTCTTTTTTTTCTTTGCAGTTCTGGGAATTGAATACAGAGGTGTTCTACCATTGAGCTACATCCTCAGCCGCCCCCCACCCTTTTTTTATTTGTTTTTGTTCTGTTTTGTTTTGGGAGGTAGAATCTCACTAAATTGCCGAGACTGGCCTAAAACTTGTGATCCTATTGCCTCAGCTTCCCAGCCTCCCATGTCTCTGGGATAAAAGGCATGCACCAATGCATCCAGCAAAAATTTTCTATTAATTACTTACCTGCTTATAGACTGTACATGGTTCTGTAAAACAATATACATAATCTCTACACTTTAAAAACTTGTGTATGCAGTAGCACTGATTCAGGCAGGTACGCAAAGGGAATTCCTGTGACCAAGTATTAAATCCATGAATCCAAGAAGAAGGTGACCTGTAATCCCAATGGCTATCGAAGTAGAGGCAAGAGGATCATGAGTTCAAAGCCAACCTCAGCAAAAGCAAGGTGCTAAGCAACTCAGTGAGATGCTGTCTCTAAGTAAAATACAAAATAGGGCTGAGGATATGGCTCAGTGGTCAAGTGTCCCTGAATCCAATCCCCAATATCCACCCCCCCCACCCCGCCAAAATAAGGCATGGCTTCATTACTTAGCTCCTTATCTGTCTTCTGCTCATGGATTTCTAAACTCTTCCCTCCATAGTCACTAATAAACTAATGTACTAGATTCCCAGGAATGATGTAATAAATTATCACAAACTGAGTGGCTTAAGCAACATAAATTTATTGTCTTAGGTTTATGTAAGCTAGAAGTCCAAGGTCAGGGTGTCTCTGGGTTTGTTTCTTCTGAGGACCATAAGAGAAAACTTGTTCCATACCTCTCTCCTCACTTCTGGTAGTCTCAGACATTCCTTGGCCAGCAGATGGTATTCTTATGTCTTTACATCATTTTTCCTCTGTGTGTACCTCTGTATCTAAATTACTTTATTTGTTTTAATTTTTTTAATGGTACTGGAGATGGTATCCAGGAATGTTTTACCACTGAGCTACACGCCTAGCCCTTTTTATTTTTTATTTTGAGATAGGGTCTCACTAAGTTGCTTAATGCCTTGCTGAGTTGCTGTGGCTGGCCTTGAACTTGGAATTCTCCAGCCTCAGCCTCCCAAGTTACTGGGATTATAGGCATGTATTATTGTGTGTGTGTGTGTGTGTGTTACTGGGGATTGAAGCTAGGGCCTTACACTTAGGCATACATTCTGCCAGTAAACTACATCCTCAACCCCCAATTTCTCTCTTTTATAAGGATACTGGTCAGATTGAATTAGGGCCCTACCCTCATGAAGTCAACTTGATCATCTGAAAAAATTACTTCCAAATAAGGTCATTCTCATAGGTGCCTTGTGATAGAATGGCAGCACCTTTGGCAGGTACACAATTCGAACCACAACACTACTATTTCCTAAATCACTGTCATCATCCAACTACCATATTAGCAGATTATTCTCAAATCTCCATCTCCAGTCCTAAAGATGGATATCTAGGAACTTAGCACATCTTAAAACAAACTCTTTATTTCAGCACATCTTCTTCCTGATCAGATTTTTTACTCTTCCTTATTTAATGGGACAAGAACCATTCTTTCAGTCAAGCTAGAAGCCAGATGGTCATCTGTAATGTGCTGGAAAGGCTACTGGACATGACTTGAGAACACTCAGCCCTGTATAATAAATGTATGTGATTCCACAAATTTCTTTTTTTTTTTTTAAAGAGAGAATGAGAGAGAGAGTTTTTTAATATTTATTTTTCCAGTTCTCGCGGACACAACATCTTTGTATGTGATGCTGAGATGTTGAGGATCGAACCCGGGCCACACGCATGCCAGGCGAGCGCACTACCGCTTGAGCCATATCCCCAGCCCTCCACAAATTTCTTAATCTCTTCAAACCACATTTTCCTCATTTGCAAAATTAAGATTAAAAAAAAAAAAACAAAAACCTCAGGACTTCAAGTATAGTTCAATGGTAGAGTGTGTGCTTAGCTTACATGAGTCCCTGGGGTTCAATCCCATCACCAAAAAGAAAAAAAAATCAAAGGTTATAATTAGTTGGATAGTATATATTAAAACATTTTATTTTAATACCAAATGTTGTTTTTTGAATCTTGAATCTGACCCTTTGCTTTCACTGGCTACTACTCTTTTACTTTATCCACCATCTCTGGCCTTTGGAATAATTTCTACTGTAACTTCTTTTTTTTTTTCTTACATGATCACACTGTCACTCTTGTTTAAAAAAAAAGTCCTCAGGAGCATAGCATATTTTCAAAATCCTCCCTGTCTGTAGAATAAAGTTCTAACTTGACATTCAAAATTCTAGCATCTGTCCCTCAGTAGCTTCATTTCCCTGAGTATTTGCTGAGCACACCCTATATGTGGGCCTCTACTACAGGCCTTCTGTGTATTCTAAGAATAGGACACAACTGCATCTCAACAGATATAATTTAATAGGAGTAATAAAAATGAAGTTGTGGTATGTTCTGTGATAGATTTTTAATTTTACAAGTCTTATTAGAGAGAGAATGATTTATCCAACAATGTGCTTAAGGGACAGAGAATATTCAGGAAAGATCTCACATTGGGACAGAATTAAAGATAGATTTCATTGCATTTCATTGAGAACTTACTTGGTGCTAAGCACTATTATAAAGTTAAGATCTATGTCAATAAAGTAAATACTGTCACTGTTCCCTCCCAGTTTACAGGTAAGGAGATAGTCCATAGAGAAACTTACTCACACAAAGAAAGACATCTATTAAAGTCTATAATGTTCAGGAAAGCCATGTTCTAAGTCATTAAGCTATGCATATTACTTTCCAATTTTAAGTGATACATAGGCTGTAAACAAGGAAAAGGATACAGAGCAGTAAATGATGAGAATACTTTAACAAATGCATGAAGACATGAAAAAGTACATTCTTTTGAAGGAACATTGAGCAGAGAAGGGTGACTAGAATATAGGGTTCTAGAATAGGATTTACAGAATATGCTTATGCCTGTGAATGTTAAAACCATGAATGCTGCTGCTTTCTTAAATGTTAAATTCCTCTTTTATTTTTATTTATTTGGGATTCAATCCTGGGCCTTGCACATGCTAGTCCTCTACCAATGAGCTGTACCAGCTCTCTGGCAATATGGTTCCTCCTTGTCAGGTCTTCCTCTGGCTAACTTGTTGATTAGGGTTTCAGCTCCTTTCTGCCTTGTAATCTTTTTTCTCTTCTTTTCAGCCTATTTCCTGCCACTTATATGGCCATCTTTCATGCTGTCAATTCATTTGGAGTAGAGAGTATTCTTTGAGACACTTCATTTTATCCTCAAAAAGGAAAAATCTTTAATAACGTACTTAAGTGATGATGGTCTTAAACAGGAAAATAAACATAATACATTCCCTTTAAGTCTCAGGAACAATTTCTTCAGTGTCCATTATTTCCTGAATATCAAGAGAGATTGGTCTTTTCATTTAGAATTCCCTCCCCAAACTGCCTAAACAAATAGCCTCAAGTACCAAAAAAGTATAAATACTAATACACCAAAATGTTCTCTACCCAACTTTCTCAAAGCCAGGTTTATATGTGTGTATGCATATATATGTGTGTTTGTTCTGTTATTGTATCCTGATCTCACAAAGTAAAATGCACCTAAAAACTGAGAAAAATAAAGGTTCAAGGTAGAGCAAAACGCCACATAAATTCTATCAATATAAATTCTATTTATATCAATGTATTTGCCAAGTGTGATGTTGCAATTTAGTTTTCATTTACAAATGGGAAAATGGAAATGAAGAAAGGGCACAAAACTCATGGCGTCTCATGTAAAGCCAGACTGAACACCCTAGCCACCATATTTTAGCCAATAGTTGATTGGTTGGCTATTGGTACAAAAGATCATCATCTCTCCTTTCATACATTTTAACTGTTTAGACTTCATAAGAGAATAACTCATGGACATTATAATTCAGAACATCTATTGAGATTATTCACTTTGCATGGAGTACATAATATAGGTTGGATTGTTAACTTTGAAGTAGAAGGTTATCAAACTGAAGAGCCAAAACTGTTACGATTTAAAAAAAAAAAAAAATACTTCCAGAGTTTAAAACTGTGTGATTACAATTTATGAGTCTGGAGATGAAGGTTCACATATTTAATCACTTAATTTGTGGACATTGCTTTCATGTAATCATCCAGAGCTATTAGAATGAATAGCTGTAGAAAATGACAGCCCTTATGGCCAGAGTTTGCACATATTGTATTATTTGTTAGGAAAGATTCATTTTAAATTTCAAGTCTTAATGTTATTTTTCTAATACTTTGCTGGTGTTTTTCTACTAGTTGCCCTGGGACCAGAAAGAAGAAAATCTGACTCAGGAGTTATGTTACCAACACTCAGGGTCTCTCTCATCCAAGATATGAGGTATTTATTACAATGTTAGCGTATGGTTGTGACTTTGATGTATTTTATGGCTTTCACCTAAATCGCTCAAATAGCATATTTTTTTCATTCCAAAGGGAAGGTGCAACTAAGAAGTTTTTAAGCATGTGCTTCTTTTGTTTTTAAACATTTGTTTCTGTTTTGTTTGTTTTTTATGGATTAACCCCAAAGCCTGACACATACTAAGCAAGTACTCTACCATTGAGTTATTCTCCCAGCTAAAACATCTCTAAACTATTTTATTACTTATTTTGTTTGTTTTTTAAAAGCGCCTTTTAAATACTTGCTGTCTATAGATACAGACCAAAATACATCTAATTATTTGGCAGAAAATAATGGTCAGGTAGATTTAGTTTGGAGCAAATACAAACCTATCGCTTCCCAATTACTGGTCTTAGAAGTCTTCAGAAAGGATAAGACATCTAAAGTAGATTTTTTAATGAAGAAAGTAAGGCTTTTTTTCTTTTTTTAATGCTTTTATTGGTGCATCATAGTTATACATAATGACTGAGTTCATTTTGACATAACATGCAGGTATGAAATTTAATTTGCTCTATTTTAATTCACCAGTGCCTCCTCTTTCCTCCCCTCCCAATCCCCTTATTCCCCACTTTTACTCTGCTGGTCTTCCTTCTATTTATTTATTTTTAACTGGTACTTTATAGATATACATACAGGTGGGATTCACTGTGGTATATGTATTTAAACAAGCATCTAGCATATTTTTGTCAGATTAATTCTGCATTTCCTCCCCTTTCCTCTCTCTCCTTCCTCTCCCTCTGTCTCCTTTTACTCCACTGATCTTCCCTCTGTCCTTATGATATTCTTCCCCCAACATACACATACACTTTTTTTCCCTCACTTTGCTCTAGCTTTCACATATGAAAGAGAACATTCAGCCCTTGATTTTCTGAGTGTGACTTATTTCACTTAGCTTGATGTTCTCCAGTTCCTTCCATTTACTGGCAAATGCCGTAATTTCATTCTTCTTTGTAACTGAATAAAACTCCATTGTGTGTATATGTGTGTGTGTGTGTGTACACACATCTACGTTCTCTTAATCCATTCATCTATTGATGGAGGACACCTGGGCTGGTTCCATTACTTGGCTATTATGAGTCGAATTGCTTTCAACTATGGATGTAGCTGCATCACAACAGTATGCTGATTTTATTTCTTTTGGATAAATACTAAGGAGTGGATATTTATAAGTGGGTCATATAGTAGTTACATTCCTAGTTTTTTGAGAAATCTTTTACTGCCCTCCAGACTGATTGTATTAATTTGTGGTCCTACCAACAAGGTATGGGTGTACCTTTTTCTTCACATCCTTGCCAGCATTTGTATTTTTTTCCCATTGGTTATTTTTAGTTATACATAACAATAGGGTTCATTTTGACATAATTATAAAATCATGGAATATAGTATGTTCTAATTTAGTCCCCAGTAGTTCCCCTTTCTCTTCCCTTCTCCCTCCTCTGTTCCCTTCATTCCACTCTACTGATTCTGCTATTTACTTATACTTTTTTATTTTTTAATCAKTGCCTTGTGGATGTACATGATAGTGAGATTCACTGTGGTATATTCATATATGGAAGGAAAGTTAGGTCATATTCATTCCACAGTCTTTCCCTATCCCATCTCTCCTTTCTTCCATTCATTCCTCTTTGTCTACTGCACTGATCTTTCATTTTTTTTAATCTGCCCTCCTCCTATTTTGGATTAGCTTTCAACCTTTGACTTTTTGACTTTTGGGGACTGGCTTATTTAACTTAGGATGTTAGTCTCCAGTTCTGTCCATTTACTGACAAATGTCATAAAGCCATTCTTCTTTATGGCTGAGTAATACTACATTGTGTACATATGACACATTTTCTTTATCCATTAATCTACTGAAGAGCTCCTAGGTTGGCTCTAAAGCTTGTCTATCGTGAATTGTGTTACTATAAAGATTGATGTGTTGGGGCTGGGGATGTGGCTCAAGCCGTAGCGCGCTCGCCTGGCATGCGTGCAGCCCGGGTTCAATCCTCAGCACCACATACAAACAAAGATGTTGTGCCCGCTGATAACAAAAAATAAATATTAAAAAATTCTCTCTCTCTCTCTCTCTCTCTCTCTCTCTCTCTCTCCCTCCCTCCCTCTCTCCCCTTCTCAAAAAAAAAAAAAAAGATTGATTGTGGCTGTATCACCATAGTATGCTGATTTTAAATCTTTTGGATATAAAACCAAGGAGTGGGATAGTTGGATCATATGATGGGTTCCATTCATAGGTTGTTTTTTGTTTGTTTGGTTGGTTGGTTTTTTTGGTTTTGAGAGGTACCAGGGATTGCACTCAGGGGCACTCAACCACTGAGCCATATCCCCAACCCTATTTTGTATTTTACTTAGAGACAGGGTCTCACCGAGTTGTTTAGTGCCTTTTGCTGAGGCTAGCTTTGAACTCTGGATTTTCCTGTATCAACCTCTGGAACCACTAGGATTACAGCCTTGTGCTGCTGCGCCCAGCTTGTTTTGTTTTTAAGGAATTTCCATGCTGTTTCCAGAGTAGTTGCACTAATTTGCAGTCCAAAAAAAGTATGAGTGTACCTTTTTCCCCTTATCCTCACCAATCTTTATTGTTACTTATATTCTTGCTAATTGCCATTCTGACTGGAGTGAGATAAAATCTCAATGTAGTTTTAATTTGCATTTCTTTAATTGCTAGAGATGTTGAATATTTTTCATGTATTTGTTGACCATTTGTATTTCTTTCTTTGAGAAGTGTCTTTTTAGTTC